AGCTCCTCCTCGGCCGGCAGCGAGAGCTCCTCCTCGGCCGGCAGAGCGGGCTCCTCCGGCTCGCTGAGCTCCTGCTCGGGCATGCTGAGCTCCTCAGTTGGCAGAGCGGGCTCCTCCGGCTCACTGAGCTCCTGCTCGGGCATGCTGAGCTCCTCCGGCTCGCTGAGCTCCTCAGCTGGCGGTGCGGGCTCCTCCGGCTCGCTGAGCTCCTCAGCTGGCGGTGCGGGCTCCTCCGGCTCGCTGAGCTCCTCAGCTGGCGGTGCGGGCTCCTCCGGCTCGCTGAGCTCCTGCTCGGGCATGCTGAGCTCCTCCGGCTCGCTGAGCGCCTCAGCTGACGGTGCGAGCTCCTCCGGCTCGCTGAGCTCCTCAGCTGGCGGTGCGGGCTCCTCCGGCTCGCTGAGCTCCTGCTCGGGCATGCTGAGCTCCTGCTGCAGCTGGACGAAGTCTGAGGTTTCCCGAGCTTGCACCACCCCCCGGGCTTTACGCAGGGTGCCAAGGCAGGCGGAAACTCCCTTGAGCTGGCCGAGGAAGGGGTTTCCCTCCAGGATTGCCTCGATGGCATTTAACCCCACCACTCTTGCCCTTGCGTTGGTGGTGTGAGTTACCCAGTCCATCAGGCGTTGGACGCGTGTGAGGTCGCCCCCTCCGGACAGGGCTGCTGGAGTGGGTAGTGGAATGGAGGCTGCCGCTGGTGGAGAAGATGGCTGAGGGATGACCGCATGCGGATGAGATGACGACAGCGCCACAACCGCAGATGGTGAAGCAGCGAGTGGTGTGAAGACCTCTGACCGAGGTGATGTTACCTGCGCTGTCAGCTCGTCCACTGCAGACACAAACACAGATGGTGAGGGAAATGGAAAATTGTCCGTACTACTCACCACAGCCGGCTCTTGAGATGACCGTGGATGTGGCTGCGGTGAGGAACGCTGGCGGCGCGAACGTCGTTTCCGTGTAGACGTCGGGGCCGGCGTCTCAGGCAGTGAATCCACCAGCTGTCCGAGCTGGTGGGCAGCCTGAGGAGGAGAGTGGAGGTGGAGGGTGGAAAGTAGAAAGTCCAGGACCACCGCATTAAGGGAGCCCACCAGCCAGGGGAATTTAAAAAGCATCTCCTGCAGCCGCCTCTCCACGGCGCGACGCAAACCTTCCGCTGGCTTCTCCCACCACACCTCACATAGGTGGTACACTTCGTCCATAACTTCCCTCCTGAGCCTCTCCTCGGAGACCGCTGGGTCCATTAGAGGCGGGATCATTCTGTCACGGTGCGGCATGGCACACCGTGGAAGGTGTGGGGAAGGAGGACCCAGGCGCGGTGCTCTACGTATAGACAGTGTTTATTTACAGAGGGTGATATCAAACAACAATAAATCCCCGTGTTTCTCCCCAGACTCCCGTGTCGTGTCCTCCAAGTGCTCTCTGCTCCCGTGTCTGCACTCCCGGTGCTCGCTGCTCCTTAAGCCTTCCACGCTCCTCCTGCGGGAAACAATAGCGGCAGCAGTCAGGACACTGAACAATGGCAGGCATACACTACACGACCAAAACCTAAACTGGGTAACTAACGTGGAGTCCCAAGCAATGATCCCGCGTCGGTGGGAGCTCCAAGACTCTCCTAAGTAGCTCCCTCGACGAGCCCTGATCAGCGGCAGGTGTGTGGCTTCGGGTGTGGCCAGTCCTTCCGCAGGGCCACACCCCTCAGGCCTGCAGGTGGCTGAGCTCCATCCTCCAAGCATCCCCGCAGACATAAACACACACACTCACATCTACAATCATGGAGGAGAGCAGCAGCAATACCAAAATACATATAATAATAATAATAATAATAATAATAATAATAATAATAATAATAATAATAATATAATACATAACTGCTCAGGGATCCTGGGTCGCCCAGTCCCAGGACCCTGACAGTCACAGAGTTTGTCTCTCCTCAAAAAGATTAAGTCAGTGGCTCGTGACGCTGTTAGGAGCCATCTGTAAACATCTGGGTAGTTCAAGTAAACATGCATTTAAATTTGAAAAAATAACAACACTCAAGCAAAAATAGATGTTTTTAGTGCTTTAATATTTCGATTTACTTTGAAAAATGGGACAGAGTCAGGTTTATCCCCATGTGACAGCCTGGAAACGTCTGGGAACCGAGGAGAGATGTTTCTGGACTGGAGAGGAATGTTGTCCCGTTGTTGGCTGATAGAAAATTCTAGTTCTTCAACATTTTAGAGTTGTGTTCATAAAAGTTTTTGTTTGATGCTCCAAATGTTTCAGTTGGGCATTGGCTTGCTGAGAAATGCAAAGTCTCCCCTGGATGTTGCTCTGAAACCCGAGCACGCCTTTCAGCACTGATGGTGCTTTTCCAGATGTTCAAGCTGCCACTTCCATAGACATCCATGCGTTCCTTTGCCATCAAACATGCAAACTTCAGAACAGAAATAAAGAGCTTTCCACTTTGTCCCAGTCCAAAAAGAAGGAGGTGGTGTTTCTGGGTCATGTTTCCATACAGCTTCTTCATGTGACCGAGCTTTGACCTGCAGTGATGCCGTGGTTTCCATGACAGAATCATGCCAGTTTGTAAAGGAGCCCCAAAGTCACGTAGACTGATTTTTGCTGTTTCCTGCAGACAGAGATTCCTTCAGATTCCAAAAACAGTTTCTTTACTCTCTCCGTCTCTCAGCTGTTTTTGAGATTTTCTGCTGTCATCCGATTAAAACTGATCTAATATTTAAAAATATTGTTGATCTCTGAGTTCTGTGTTGGAGGGTGAATCAAATATAGATTTATGAGATTTACACACGATTGCATTCTGCTTTTGCTGACTTTTCCACAGTTTTTTCAGAATTGGGTTTGTAATTAGATCATTTTCCTCGTTTTCTAACCGAGACTCAAGAATAACATTTTGCTGCTCAATTAAATTGTTGGCTGTTGTCTTGGAAGACTTAATGCTCTGCTGTGTAAAAATGCTTTAATTTCCCACAGGAACTAAAAAAGTGGGCAGCAGCTTGGGGACTTGATGTCATCTCAACAACTGTTAGATGATAGATGCACAGAGTACAATGGAGGAACCAGTACGACGTCTGCATGCAGAATTAGTACCTTAGATCCTCAGCACCCAAAAAAGCATTTTTTTACTCTGAAAGTTTCATTAAATCTCCAGATTCTCATTACCCTCAGGCCTGAAGGGCGAAGACATAGTGGGAGGAAATGCAGACGGAGTTCAGAGGATGATGGTAATTTTCTCAGGACCAGGAAGGGCACAGTGAAAATAGATAATACGACCGAAGAGGCGGGTATAACAGAGGGATTTGAACATATGAGGGTGCAGCAGATACCGGCGGTGTGGGGGGAGTACGGCTTTCTTGCAGAGAGCATGATTAGCTTTTTAATGGTGAACGGCCGGGAAGGTGAAGAGGGAAAATGAGGCAGAAGAGCCGGCATAATTTGGAGGGTTCAGTTGCAGTAATGGTGAGATGGCTGCAGCTCAGGGAGAGTGATGGGAGGTTTTTAGCATTTCAAATGTGCAACTCAACAGCCAGCAGATTCACTCTGGGATTTCCACCCGAAAAGTCTCACAGCTTCCCATTAACCACGGCGATCTGGAATCTATCACGGCTGTGGGAGAGCAGAGGAGGCTGCACGGAGGTCATAAATGTATGTGAATGTACAGACGGCTCGAAAAGCACACGTTCCTCAAAGAAAGCACTTTATTTTAAGATTCGTATTATTCCATTCGGCCATTTCAAAGGACGTGTCCCAGCTGTCGAGCCAGTGATAAGTCCTCTGGTTTTAATATCACTCTGGTAGATTAATTCGACTGTACACTCTGTAACAGTGGGGAGACTTTACTTCTCTGCTGTGCCGACAGTTGAAATTTTATTAGGCGTTATCAAACTTTTAGGCCTTTTTTGACTCGTCATTATCTTCCTTTTGCCAACTCGGCGTCTGCCCTTGCAGTTCCTCTCTGTACTTCCTGTCTCATTATTAAAGCTCATACTAATCATTCTGTACTGAGGAATATATTCAGTACTTTTGCTTCTGCTGGATTTACCTTATTTCGATTTAAACTGTGGCTTCAGTTTGTTGGTATACAGCCGACTTCTCTTCTTTCCCTTTCATGTTTTTTCTCTGTTCTCTTGATATACATCAATACGACCATTATATTTTAATAATATGCATGCATTAAGTGCATAGTAATTACATAAATTGCAAAAAAGTGCAATAAACTACAAAAAAATTTGAAAATCGTTTTTGCTTTTTTAACATATATTTCTAGTTAGAGAAATTTAAGAGGCTTATCCCTCAAAACTGTAAATACAAAAAAGTTGCACAAACTAGTTTCCCACCACAGGAAATTTATTTTAAGTGTCTTCATAGTTTTATTTTTGAAATACACCAATTTTTGTACACTGCAGGAAAAACGAAAATAAATATTATCATGCAAATTTGCAAAAAAAAGCAGCATGTGCATCAAAATAAACTATTTCCAGCAGTGCAATATGAGTCCTAAGCATCCCAGAAACGACACAGAAAGTCACAAAGTCAAATATAACTTTTAAAAACACCAGTATAGGCTCATGAGGCGCTGATGGTAAAAAACTACATTTCCGCAAAATGACGTCACTTCCGGTTTCGGGCAGGTCATGGCAGACATGCGATAGTTCGCGCTGATGGACGTAGGAAGTGTTACAAACAGCTGATCGGATCGGCAAAGCTGTTTCTGTAATATTATGTTTTTGTTGCTGCAAGTGCTTTTCATGCAGTTTTTGCAAAGCTGTATGTGGAAGGAAACCGTGACCGAGGACAAGCTGATGGCATAAGATGCAAGTACAACTCCTCCGGTTTCATATGCAAAAAAAATTATTGCGCTAGCTTACGTGGTTGCAGAGCTACCGGGATTTAAAAATAGTTACGCAAAACGGAGCGTGCTGCTCTGACCGGCTTTAAAGGGTTAATATTTGTTAACACTTTGCATACATATAATCTGTCTTTTCTCGTCCCTCTCTGCTTCTCAGTTCCTCTCTTAGCTCCCAGGAACCTGCGTGTCTCAGAGGAATGGTACAATCGCTTCAAGATCAGCTGGGATGTTCCACCGTCGCCCACAATGGGCTACAGGGTCATCTACCAGCCTCTAACTGGTAATTTAAACAATACCAATTATTTCTCCCTAATCTCTCTTTTAGCTCATTTCAAATATTACAGTTTAAGTCCCATCGAGTCCAGACAGTTTTAAGAAATGTTTGCAAACCATAATTCTATAATTTTGTCAATTTCATAAATATGTGGATAAAAACTAAAAGACAGAAATGCTGATGGATGGGGGCAGGCATGCTGAAGGAGTTTCTTACTGTAACAAACCACCAGGGATAAAAATGTAATCCAGTGCTGAAGTGCACATTTGAAACTGTCACTGACACTTAAAATGCCAAACTTTACCTCAGAGGAAGGATCAAAAAAGGATGTTGGTCTTACTTCCTCACCAACGCTGGAGGACTCGGACTGGTTTTTAGTACAATTACCCACACAGTGTACCGAATATGTTTGCAGTAAAATCCTTTAAATAGCTCCAAAACCACAACGTGGTCGAGAAACCGAGTTCAGTGACAGATGAGTGAAAGTGAAGGCAGACAGCTAACTGCAGCTGCTAGCATCTGAGCCGCACCACTAACCCAGTGTAAGGCTCGGAACAATTTAAAGTTTCACCCTCACGCACAGTCTTTGCATTCAGAGAAGAGACCCAAATGTTTTTTATAGAAGGCTGTTAGCATATTTTTCTGTTGTAAAGCTGAGATTTAAACTCAGCAGTCTGCGGGACTGATCTCAGGTGGAGTAAAATACCTGAGCTTTATTCAGCTGTTACCTGGTTCTCATCTCTTTTTTGTTGGGTTTTGTCAAAATAGGATTATGTTAGGAACAAATGAAAATATCCCGGACCTGCTGCACTTCTCACAGCTGTCAGTTTTAACAGTATAGAGGAATGTGAGAGGAAAACTGATATTTTATGCTGCAGCTGAAGCTAATGATGACCTCTGAAGGTGCTCCTTTGTTCTCCTTCTGCTTCACTGACCGTCTACTCATCCTTGACGTGTCTCCTCCATTATCCCACCGCACCCTGCAGCCCCTGGACAAGCCCTGGAAACCTTTGTGGGGGAGGATGTGAACACCATGCTGATCGTTAACCTGCTGAGCGGTACCGAGTACAGCGTCAAGGTCATCGCCTCCTACTCGACCGGATCCAGCGAAGCCCTGACAGGAAGGGCCAAGACCTGTAAGTTCATCATTCATTCCTTTAATTCTATAGTCCCGGTCACACTGAATTAGATACAAATGTGCTGTTTAAGAGCGTCTCTGGAAGTTATTACTGTAACAACATAACTCGGGCCCTGTTCAAAGCAGCAAATAACATTAGAGAGCTTTGTGGCCTCCAGTTAAGCTCATTAAGTGTTTCCTCGGTTTAAACCGATGCTCTTCAGCAGTCGTACAACTTTTCTAATTTAATTTTTCAAACCAATATTTCAGTCACTGGAAACTGTTCATGGATCCTTCCAACAGTTTACAGTGTAATCTCTTTTTGTAATGGAGTATGTCTCCATTTTTAATATCACGATATTTTGCAAAAAAACAATTGTTCTGAAAAACAAAGCAACACTTTTTATTTACTTCAAATCTGATTTCATCTCCATCTAATAAAACTACACCTGCAGATTGTATATATAATGTTTTTACCTGCAGCTTTATTTCATTGCCCCAAACAAATCTCTGCTTGTTGTATTTCGTCTTGAATGTTGCTTTCAACCTTTTTAAAGATTCATTTTTTGCTGACCTTCCTAAACTCCACCAGCTTTAATTAAGAACAGCTGCAGCCTCTTAGTTTATTTCATTTCAATTACAACAGGCAGTCAGACACTTCAGAGGTTGATTCCTAGATACCCGTGCGATGCTCTTAGCAGCAGTCGCAATCTAATTACAGGATATTGTCTTTAAAATTTTATTATGTTTGTCTTCACTGTAACTATAACCATGATTAAAAGAGTAGGATGAAGGAGTCTTCAGCTGTTGCCTCGTAGCATCCAAAATCCGTCTCTTTTTACTCTGTTATGGATTTATAGTGTTTTACTCTTTAGATGTAAAGTAAGAGGAGCCTCGTATTAACAGACGGGGTTTGTGTTTTCATTGAAATATTTATACCTGCACCTGTTTTGAGTGCAAATTTGGTTTTTTGTTAGTTGTAATCAGAGATGGGCAGTAACGCGTTACTGTAATCCGATTACTTTTTTCAAGTAACAAGTAAAGTAAGGGATTACTATTGCAAAAACGGTAATTAAATTTCTGATACTTTCCCGTAGGAACGCTGCGTTACTGCGTTACTAAAACCATGATTTTTTTGCGAGAATGTCTCACGACAGTGACGTAAGCGAGTGCGCCGTTAGTGACAACAGCTGTGTGCAGATCAACAATGGATCACATATCGATTGTGGGAGAGAGTATGAGCGTGCAGCGTTTAAAGCGTGGAAGTACTGACCTTACTTTGAGTTTGATTCCATAAAAAGTGACAAAAACATTAGTGTCCGCTGTGCGTGGGAAGAAAACTTCTTTTTACAGCGAAAAAAAACCTAAACTTCCAAACAAGCACCGAGTAGCTACGACGTAATGGGAAACTCACAGAGAAACTCGCGGATTCTTCCACTGACCGCGGCACACCTGCACCAGGGTAACCCTCCGCCTACCCCACTCCTGCTTTACAGGTGAAAATAGAGCAACAGGACTGCTGAGTCTTTGACTTTATTTATTTTCTGCTGTGTTTTACTTGCATCTATTTGAAAGACTGAGTGTAAACACAAAAAATATTTTATTTTATGTGCTGGAATGTGCAGAAAATAGGTTTAAATGTTAAACTAATTTCTTCCAGTCAGAGAATGTTGCAGATAATTAAATTTTTGCTTGATGCATAAAGTTAAAAGATTAAAACTAATAAAACAAGTTTTAAAAAGAGACTTTTCCATCTGATTACATTTTGTATGATGGATTATGCAGGAAAAGTAGAATTGGGCTGAAAGATCTATCGCTTTATCACCTATTCAGGTTGTAAATCGTGTTTTTAAAAAGTAACTAAGTAATTAATTACTTTTGAAAATAAGTAATCAGTAAAGTAACGGGATTACTTTTTTGGGGAATTAATCAGTAACTAGTTACTGATTACTTTTTTCAAGTAACTTGACCAACACTGGTTGTAATGCACTGATTTCATCAGTCCTTTCAAAGACATGTTAACTGTTTGACTGTTATATCCTATATGCTTTAATGAGGAAGAGCACTGCATCTTCCTCTTACCTAATTCTGCTTTACCTTTATAAAGTGTGATATTCTCTGTGGAGCTGCAGAAGGAGGGATATTCATGTGCGACTTGCTTTATTATTATTATTTTATCTGCAATCTTCATTTTAAATGACTTGTGAATGTGCTGAGAAGTGCATGCACTGCAGCACGTGCATTTTGGCAGCTGGTAGTGTAATTGCGACCATAAAAGCCATGAACATTAACACGCCACTCAGCTGCTTGTTAATGCAAACGTCCACGCAGCCAATCACATTGATGGTGCAGTTAGGGATGACGTGATGGAGAGATGACCTGCTGTTCAAACTGAGCGTCAGAATGAGGAAGGAATGACATTTAAGTGACTCTGAACATTTCGTTCTAGTTGGTGCCTCATGAGTTGGTCTGAGTATTTCAGAGGCTGCTGATTGGCTGGAACTGTCCTTCCCGTAACCATCTCCGGGGTTTTCAGAGGTCAGAGGAGTGAGTGCTTGAGCTGAAATGAAGGCGACAGTAACTTAAACCAGTGTTGCAACATATGCAGAAGAGCATCTCCAAATACACAACACATTGAACCTTGAAGCAGGTGGGCAGCAGCAAACAACACTGCGTGCCACACGCACATTTCTATTGCAACATTCAAATAGTACAATCAGAATCTGACACAAACATGAAAGCATGGATCCGCCTGCCTTGTGCAGGTTGTTCCTCATGGTGGTCTAAGGGTGTGGGGAATCGTTTAAACACTACACCTCTATGACCACAGTCTACCATCTTCACTGCACTCAAATGGCCTCTACAGTCACCAGATTTCAATTCAACAGAGCACTTTTGGGATGTAGTGTAATGGAAGATCCTCATCATGGATGTGCCGCAACAATCCTATGATGTCAGCTTGGACCGAAATCCCTGAGAAATGTTTCCCGCCCTGGTTAATGGTAGCAAGGCGTACCTGATGTAGAGTGTATTCCACCACTGTGGTGACTAGTCCCAGTTTAACAGGTGGTATTATAAGGAGAACCTAATTATTGTATAAATAAATGCACATGTAAATGCCATATTTGTCAGTATTGATGTTTAAGGGGATTTCATGAGCCGGTTATTTAATTTTATAATTGAGCTGAAAAACTCAGCACGTGGCCCCGCCCCTCCCTGAGCCTGGTTCTGCCGGAGGTTAAAAGGGAGTTTTTCCTTCCCACTGTGGCCAAAGTGCTTGCTCACAGGGGGTCATGTGATTGTATGTATTATTCTAGGGTCTACCATACAATAAATAGCCCCTTGAGGCGACTGTATAAATATTACTGAATTGAAAAGAACCAAATATTGCAAAAGCTATGATCGGCACTGACTGGATGTGTCAGACGATCATTATTATTTTTAACTTAAACAACTACTAAAGAAACACAAGAATAACTGGTTTGTTTTAGCTTTGAAGTAAATGAACTTGACACAAATAACAAACCACTTTCATATTACCTGTGGCACTTTTTGAAAAAAGTCATTTGAAAGTCCAACCTTTTGCTCAATTTTGTATATATATATTTATTTTAATCAAATATGAGTTCAAAATCTATTTAAGAAAATAAAGATAAAAGCAACTATAAACTACAAAGTATACCTTTCCTGCACCGTGATGATTTCCCAATAGACCAGTACATCTTTGCTCTGCTTGTTCTTAATTGTTCTGTTGGCATTTTCTACCCAGGATCATTTATACACCTTGTTATTGGTTTTCTCGGCCCATTCTACCTCTTTGAGTACAAGTGAATAAACAATATCATCTAATCTAATCAGAGAGCAGTCAGACTCCTGCAGGCTCAATATCTTGATATCCATCTGACACCTTTAATGTCAACTCCACCTAATTACATCCCAGTGCTGGAATGAACTGTATGGATTTAAGTTATCTCACTTGTGATGTGGACACTTCCTGGGGCTCTGTGAGTGTGTGGCCTGGTTCAATCAATCACTTGCTTCTCAAGTACAATCATTAGAGTAGGAGCCTGGATTTTCCTCTCCTGCATGATAATTAATCACTTCAGTGCAGACTGGCCTATCGGTGAAATAGCCCTTTTTGAAAGGTCTCTGGTTTGATCTCCATGACAGCCAAAGCATCCAGTGAAAACTATGTGTCCTTTTGAAGTGTCCTTGAGCATGACTCCGAACCTCTACCCTTTCATCCGCTCTCATTGCTCTCTGCGCGAGAGCTCTCGATACAAGTGTCAGCTAAATGCCCGAACACGCAGCTTTAAATGGAGCGTGTCACTTTGCATTGGAGCCACAGTTTCCGCTGCCTGCATGACAATTAAGCACTTCTTGGTTGACTTGAAGGACAAGTTTGGAAGGAAAACGAGGAAAGAAGAAGGGGATGAACTCTGACAAAGATGGAGAGATGGGTTGAGTCGAAAAGAGAGCAAGATGATGAGGCCAGTGGGATCCCAGGAGGTGAATGGAGCATCTGTCATATTGCTCACCAGCATGTTAATGAAGCCAATGGACCAGCAGAGCTTAGTGGGCTGATGTGTCAATGTCACGCAGAGGACGAGTATCATGGTCGTTGTGGCAAAAAGAAGAATGACACTCCAGGTTATCTGCTTACACTCGTATACCTAAAGGTTTATGAAAGAAATACCCCAGAAAAAATGTTGTATATGGCCTTTAATGCTTATTGCAAGGATGCAGCGAAAGGTTACTTGTTGTGAAATACTCAAAATTTAAGTTTTAAGTTCAAGAATTTCAAAAGTAAAGCAGTGATTTAGAAGTAAAGCATGAAACAATCAAAGCGTGTTGAAAGCCACAGAGTGGCCATACTCCGGACACATGAGGGATCACTGAGGTTGTCCTTCCCTCCTGGATCGGCTGGAGCTTTCTTTAGGTGCCTTCACAGGTTTGACAAATGTCCAGCTGGGATAACCACATTTACTCAGCAACGTCTTGCTCTCCTGCTTCCCTGGCCGCTGTGTCTGTGGGGATGGTGTTCGATCTGTATTGTAGCGTCCTGATGGCGCCCAGTTTGTGCTCCAGTGGATGTAGGTTTACGGTACGCATCAGCTTTTAAATGTCCCCCACTACTGATGGAAATCTCACAGTCTAAGAAGGCTAACCTGCCACTTTTCATATCCTCCCTGATGAATTTGATGTGTCGGTCCACTGAGTTAATGTGATCCCTGAATTTTGGTCGTCCTGAGATTTGATTTTCACCCACATACCTGAACCAATGACTCAGTGGGGTTCCACTGTTTCCATGTAGAAGTTGGCCACAATGGGTGAAACTGGGGAACTCATGGCACATCCACCCACCCACCCGTCCACCATCTCATAGTTATTCTTGTCACACAAATTGTTTTTGTGCTCTAATCAGCTGTTCAAGCCTTTTCACAGTGAAATCGAATCTTACTTTAATGAATTTACATCAAATATCAATCTACTGGTAACAATCTGAGCGACTCGATATTAAGGGAACAACCAGAAACATTATGACCGAAGCTTCCTGCACATACAGATTGTGTGGCATTTAGAAAAGTGCAGCTGTTTGGAGACGGGCTCTCTCTGCGAAACAGAGCCTGAGAAACTGACATATTTTGCATCTTAAAAGATACTAATTAGTAAAATATAAAGCTGATGACCTAATCGTTAATGTTTCCATGTCTTATGAATGTTGCGCATTAGATTCTTTTTCCATTGCAGTGGGAGCACGTTGGGCAGGCTAACGTAGCTCTTTATATCTAACTCTTTACAGGTGATCCTGCATCCTTTGTTAGGATATGTCTCCAGTGCTCGGTTTGCTTGAACATATCTGTGAGCAGCATGTATGTGCAGAATATAAGTTTCCTGAAGAGCCTCATTGTAGTTTTTACAAGACAAAGAAGCAGCTGCTTTACATCCATCTGAGCTCCTTTAACTCGCAGGGAGTGTGAGCGTCTCTGCCCAACGGGACAGTCTGAGGTCACTCTGCTTGTAAACGGTGCATTGCTCTTTTGGGGGTGGGAGTGAGTAACTGCCCAAATGAATAAGCATCATGGGTTTTTGTTAACGAGCGTGGGCGAGATGGAGTCTGAATGTGCCGCATCAGCAGAAACGGAAACGCTGCGCTGGATTGTCGTGGTGAAGTGGGACCACTGAATCAAAGTTACTGCTGATGATTCTCAACATTTTCCTCTGTGTGAAATTTACCAGTAATTCCTGTCGAATATTGGCAGATTATCAGTAGTAGCAAATTCAAACAGCTGGAGTGTTTTGCCTCCCGCTGCCTTTACTGTGTCGACATATATGTAGAGATGCTGACTTAAGAATCCCTTTGCGTCTCCTCATTAAATCACTTGCTGAGAGGTTTGCAGGAATATTATGCAGGGATACATTATGCATTTGTATGAAGTTCACAATAATGCAGATTAGATATTTGGCTCAACTGGAAATGTTCTGTTTTGTCAGAGGGAATGATACTGAGCTGTACAGGCCATTACCAGCTCACAGAGACACGCATGCTAATGTTCTTCAGCTGGGAACAAGAGCTGCTTTCAAACGTCGCACCATAAAAGCGCATACATACCATTTGCATAAACAGAGTGTGTGTGGGTTTGTTTGTGCGTGTGTGCATAAGCCAGACTTCTGAAGCAAAGACAGTGCAGCTACATTTCTGTGTGTCTGTAAATAACTTCAAGAAAGTGCACTTTGGTGTCCTTGAAACCAACTGGCCAGAGACTTTTGCATCTGCCGTGTGGAAACAGGATGCCGTGTGGTTCCTCAGATGTGAGCTGAGTGCTGTTAAACATATATATAGCTTTGCTCTTATGGCAGTATAGAGAGGAATGCTTACAAGTTTATAATGCACATTTTTAGGCTTCCAGAAAGGTTTAGTTTTATGTCTCAATGCTGCTTTTGTTCGTGTCCAGACTCATGACATCAAAACTCGTAGCCTCCGCCACAGCTGACTGTAGGAGAATAGCAGAGACATCAAATTACATTAAAATGTCCAATAATACAGCTGTCACTGACCCACATCACATCTGTTCTAAGACTAAGAGATCTGAGACAGATTTTAGCTTTAGTTTTTGGAAATATCTTATCATGTTCGGTTCAATTTAAATCTAAATAACTTTCTAAATAATTAAGTTTCTAAATAACGAGAGCAAATGTTAGATATGTACGTAAAAAACTGAAACCTCCACAGCTAGTTGGGGGCTCCTGGTGTGAGGAGGCTGCTGCTTGTCTGATTGGTGAAATGTTCTTGGTGCATGCCATGAAGAGGCTCACGGTGCTGTGATGTCATTGTTCCAGTATTAATAAGAGATGTTTAAAGTTGGTAGAGAAATATGTTTACTGCAGAAACCCCACATTCCTGAGCTGCAGCTCTTCATTCACTGAACCAAAGCAGTCGTTGAGCATTTAGTTCTTTTTGTAAAACTCAAACACGGTGCTCCGAGTGACACATTCAAGAATGGAATTTGGAAATAACGTCTGGGCCCGTAAATATCTGCTCTGCAAGTAAAAACACCTTTTCTGTTTCCCTGCAGTGTACCTGGGCGTGACTAACCTGAGTACCTATCAGGTGAGGATGAACGGGCTGTGTGCCCAGTGGCAGCCTCACCGACATGCCAGCGCCTACAGAGTGGCCCTGGAGTCGGCGGTTGGTGAGTGCAGTGATGGCAGCGTGATTTTAAAGGTGGTTTTATTCCTTCTGTGTGATGTTTTGCTCGTACTCCCATCTGTACTGTGTATGTAAGCAAATGAAGGTCAGCCTGAGGCGTTTGTTGCATCATGTAAGTAAAGTTTTCTCAGTATTAACATTTTAAACTTATGAACCTGTTCTCATCATGAAGGTTTGTAGTTATTATATTTGCAAGTGGGATTCCTTTCATCCCAGTATCTCTGCTTGACTACGTGCACAATCTCAAGCTGCTAAAAAAAGACTCGTTTGTAGGTGGTGGAAGATCTGTCAGCACGTTGGACGGTTCCAGTGTTTGTGCCAAGCTTCGTAGGCACACCAAGGAAACACATTTCTGATCTCTCGTTCTGAATTAGGGAAAGACATTGTGCATGTATTTTATTAATGTTTTAAGATTATGTTATTGAGAAGTATTTACAGCTTTGTTTGCAGATATTTAAGATACAGCTGTGTGAACATGTGAACCCCAAACATCCAGGTCACACGTATGGATACAACACAGAGCAGTTTGGATTTCTTTGTCCTTAATAAGCACACAGTCTCACGGCGCACACCTGGAAGAAGAAAAAACGAACTCTGTGCTCTGTTGGAGGAAGAAGGCCTGCTCTTTGAAACTGTGAAGCACCGTGGAGGGAGCGTCCCGAATCGGGGCTCATTTGGCACCTTGGGGCACGGATGCCTTCCAATGACTTGGAGAGCAATAAATTTCAAAAATGTGTCAAGAAATTTCAGAGGAGAATGTCAGGGAATCAGCCCGTGACCTGAAACAAATAAATCGAAACCATAATGATTAAAAAAGAATACAAAAGGTCCCAACATTAACCCAGCTGAGACGATGCAGCAGACCTCGAGTGTGCTTTTTCAATCAAACCGTCCCACAAGTGCCGATGACCCGGAACCCTTATATAGGAGTTCTCCTCATTGTTGTGCGAGCTTTATGAGCCATGAGAAGAAATGGTTGCTGCTGTTGGAGCTAAATTCAAAGGTTCGCTACCTTCTCCCACCCTGCACGTGATTCCTCAGTCTGTCCTGTTTAGACATGAAAATGACTCAGATGAAGATCTCACCGTTCTCCTCCATATTTATATAAAGCTCCTATAAACACTGTTAAAACAAAACATGTCCAGTAATCTGGAAAAATCTTGCCAATAAGCTTGTCTACCAGATCAATATTCGATTATCTTTGTGTGCCTGCAAAGCTTGGCACAAACACAAACGCTTGGCTTTACAGTGGGAGTCACTGAATCAAGAAAAACCTGCTTGCACATATTTTAAATACACAATACGCTAAATTTTCAGTGTGAATTCACAAACATTTTGCTGCTATATGTTTGGAGATGTTTGCAAATGCGATATCAGTGCAAACGTGCGAATCTGAACTCTTCTCCCATCATGCTGCTGGCTTTGGATTAAGGCGAGGAGTTAAACGTGACAGTGCATCGATTTAGCATTTACAGAATACTGCATGCGTAACTGTAATTCTTCCCATCAAACTCCTACGCTGCATATCCAGTGCAGTAGGAGAGCAGCCTCATTCATACTCACATGCTTTCATCAGTAGGAGTTTCAGTATGTAGCTGAAGCAGAGGGTCCAATTTTCTGAATCCCTAAGCAGCCGGAGATGACAAAGATATTGTTGTATCCCATCGGAGACGTGCTGACACTTTAAAGGTTTAGCTGTACAATCAGACACTGTGCCGCTCTGTAGAAAAGGAAGGCTTACGGATCACAGCACGGGTGACATTTACATTTGCTGCACGAGGTAAAATAAAGCGAACAAAAAAGACAAAAGGTCGCGATTACGGCTGCCGAGCGAGGAGATGTGCTTGTTACAGCAGTGACAGTAATTATGCCCTGTTGTGTCTATTCTCAGAGGTAAACTTTAAGGAGGGGGAAGGAAAAAGTACAGTTATTTTCTTCTTATGAAGTTTTCTGTTGAAGTTTTGGTTGCACCTGCAACTTCTTTCCTCTGATTGTGACAATATATAATTTTTTAAAACAATAAAAACTGAACTGCTTCTATTTAGAGTTCATTATGTGTGGGAGTGTGAAGAAGAAGGGAAGTGAAGCCTGCCGTCTGCATGAGTCAGTGCGCGCGTAAACGGCAATCAAGCCGTGCATCCCAGCGTTAGCTTGAAGTGTGCCGAGACTCTGGCAAATTCAACAGATACGTTCTGCTTGCAGAAACGTGTTTTTGTTTATAGCCCACCGCTGACGTTCGTTTAACTAGACTGTCAGCTAATTAACTTTAGTGTCATGCTAAATTATGCCTGCATCGTTAAACATAATAATATAAGCTAGGTGGCTGTAGTGGCTCAGTAGTACTTGGTTTATGTATGTATAGCAAGCAAAAGCCCCCGGGTTTGATCCCAGGAGGAGACGCAAACCCCTCGGCGGGGGGGGTCTCGAAAGGGAACCCAGAGTATAAATCTGCCAAACATCAAACATGCGACAGTACCTGCTGTGGTGAGGCCTTGTGAATAAGGAAGCAGCAAAAGTACAAAGGTGTCTGCACGTGTGAGTAATAATAATAAATGCCCTTGTTTTTACGGTGAGATTATACTTTTAGACGCACAACAGAAGGAAAAGCACCTTTAATTTTTTATGTTATTTGCACTTTGGCAGTAAAAAGCTTCGTGCAGCTCTACAAAGTTTGATTCAGGATAGGCCGACATGTCCACACATCCTGCTTCTGCCAAAGGTTTCTTCCAAGTGCTTGCTTATAGGGTCCATTTGACTGTTGGGGTTGTCTCTGTGTTACTGTAAGGTTTACATTACCAGGTAAAGTGCTTTGTTTAGGTTGGTGCAGAACTTTTATAACTGCAGTTGATCAAGACTGGAACAAACAAACAAGGATCATTCCACCTTTCATTAATACATGCACCGTACAAACAAATTCAGATTTACAGGAAGACATGTCCTCTCGGTGGAAGTCAGATGTAAAGCTTATAAGTAGCAGCTAGTTGTGCAGCTAGTTGTGGTTCTCTGTTGCTTCTTGCTTCTTACCCTGACTTTGGTGCTGTGATGATCCCTAAAAATAAAAATCTAATAATATCTAAAAACATGATCAAGGATTACAAGATTCCCACAGAGAGTGGGCATTCTTGCTAACAGTGTAGAAGTTCTCCAAATGCATATTTAAAGGAACGGTTTTCTAATACATGGTTCACCTATGATCCTTTTCTAAATGGAACCAAGTAGATCGTGTCCTTATAATCAGATATAATATGTCCACTAAAATCCTGCGTTTGTCCCTTACATCCCTCACAAACATGTCTTTATTTAGAATTCCTCTTTAGCTCTGCACTTCCTCCACTACAGAACAAATTGGCTGCAAGGCCTTATTACAGCATTTTGATTGGCCGTCAGTGATGGTCCCCAAACCAATATTAACTTGATGTTCTAGGAAGAAAAACAGCCACATGGCGACAGCAGATACACTTTCACGTTACCTCCAGTGTCTGTTAAACTCTCCTGAAACTCTCTGCAATTTATTTATGAACTGATGAACTTTAATGTGTTCGTTCGTCAGCTGCCAAACAGGCCACTGCACCAAAGTCACCTCTGTGAAGCAGCCGTATGCTTATAAAAGTCATTTCCTCAGTTATGATTCTGTGCAGCCACCAACAAAAACAATAGTTCTTTGTCTGACACTGAGAACACGTCCAAATAGCATCAAACAACAGATGGTCTGGCCCTGAATCGATTTTAAACATCCACCACTCAGTCAGCACCTCAAAGCTAAGACTAACTTTTAATACAGCCGTCATCCACCAAATAGGAAAGTAATAGCTGTTATTCATCACCTTTAGGCGTCCAGCAATAACACTGGCGTCATTAACGTCACATAAAAGGCACAAATTCCCCCGTGTCTCCTCGGGGAGATCCAATGTGTTGGTTCTCTCAACACACAATGAAGCTAAATAATGACTTATGTTAGAACAGCTGGTAAATAATTACACCTGCTGCTGAGAATGGGGGAAATGTGTGATTATCCTGTTTTATTATTGAACAGGCTGGAATTTAAAGGGAATGGAGGGAGGTAAATTTAGGGAATAGGGTATAGAAAGAAAGACAGAGTGTAAAGTGTGTTTTCATACATCCTCCTGCAGGACAGAAGGATTTACCATGTTCAGCTAGAATTTACAGAAACAACTCTTTGATCTTTTCCTGCACAGGATCCATTCTTCACCCTTATTATGGTCTTATCCCAGTTTAGCTACACAGGAATGTTGTGGTGCATTTAGGCGTCTCATAGGTTCCTCTGCCTGATGACTCCCTCACAGCTCGAGCTTCCAGCCAATGTGATTAAATCATGTCACAGATTATATGCAGTATTACTCATAGCGGCACTTCTGGCATGGATTCTGAGGGATTGAACTCGATTTGATGATGCCTGAGGAAAAAGGAGCATTTATGGGTTCAGTGACCTTCGGTGCAGAGGTGGCGAACTCCAGGCCTCGAGGGCCGGTGTCCTGCAGGTTTTAGATCTCACCCTGGGTCAACACACTCAATCAAATGATTGGTTCATTACCAGGCCTCTGGAGGACTACGAGACATGTTGAGAACTTAATTTAGCCAAATAAATCAGCTGCGTCCTGCTGCTGCTGCTCACATTGGTTTGATTCACTTGACTTGACTTAAACTGAGATTTTTCCACCCATACACTCCCACCTGTGTAGTTTCGTGGTGAGCTTGTCCCATTATCTTTGCACTCGATGCCTCTTTAAGTCATTAAAATGTTCCACCTGTTCCCTGTAATGAAGTAAATGCTTGGTGTTTCATGGATAACAGGTTTTTCTTGGAAAACTGTTTGACATGTTACCAATGGACCCTGACTGTTAGGATGGAGTGAACAAGTACAACAGGAAGGTGTTTGATTGGTTCAATAATTGGATTTGATTCATCAATTATTAACAAACCAAGCGAACAGTAGCATCCTAATGACAACAAAGATAAATAAATGCTTTCATTTTCAATCTGTGACAACGTGCTGGGTTTACGATGTGTGCAGATTGTTCTACACACTTGCATGTGCATGCACTTGCTTTTATTTCTGCATGTGACAAATACAGAATCATTTTTGAGAAAGATAAAGATGTTCTTTGTACTTTTGTTGCAGGCAGCCAGAAGCAGGAGACGAGACTGAGCGGGGGAGCGAGCAGGCACTGTTTCAACAACCTGAAGCCCAACATGCAGTATAAGATCAGCATCTACGCTCAGCTGCAGGACGGGACCGAAGGGCCTGCAGTCACCACCGCTGAGAAGACACGTAAGGACCTGAGCTTTGAACACACGTGTCATTCACATGTTGCAGGTCGAGGTGCACTGCAGTTCCACGACTGGATTTCTCCTGCTGCTGCTATTTTAAGATCACTGCACAGAAGCCTCGTTTACATTTACACTTGTGTGTCTCTGTGTGTGCTGGGTTGCTTCCACTCTTTCAAATTGGGCACACTTATATATTGCATGCCATTGCACAAGATCTTAATTTCTGACGCCAGTGGCCAACGTTTATCTGATGCCAACGTGTCCATTTATCCCCGGCTAAATATTCAACAACAGTGTAATGAGGAGCTAAAAGGCTTTTAAGAGTGCAAATATTTCACAGTAAATGCATTTGTTGAGGGTTTCTCCACACCCCCAGAAACTCTTGAAATCAATGCCTCAAATAAGCTTAAAGATTTATTTTTAAATCTTAAAACGTTGATACTTTTCAGAATATAACGAATCGTGTTTTGTGATGCCAAAGTTTAAAATGTAAAACGTGGTCTCCAGGTTGCTGACAGCTGCTGCCGTGTGTATTTTGGGCAGAAGGTTTTTCCAACTTGGCTTTGTGGGACTCAAAGCAGTGATCGCCAACACAGGACTGAGTCAGGCAGCTCCAACAAGGCAGGCTGCAGCAGTCCCCTACATTTATTCAGCAGTTGCAGATACAGACAAAGAATAGTTTGCATTAATGTAAACACAGCAAACAGCTGGTGTAGAGAGAGCACGTGGGAATTCATGTAGTTTCATTGAGTTCTGATTGGTTATGTTGGTCGTTCATCATGTCTCTGGAGAAACAAAAGAAATCCACTGACAACAGCTGTGCTGCAAATATTTATTGTAATCGTCAATATCAGCCTAAAATTTCACGATCCCTACATGACCTTTGTGTGGAGACTGGCCACTTTTATTTCTGATAGGGATGCATGTGTGTAGTATTTCCCATTTAGTGTGAGACAAATGTTTCAGAGCAGGCGCTCTGTCCTTTTTCTTATTTGTGTGTTCTATGAGAGAACTAATGTGTACGACTGTAATGCCGTCGCTCAGTCATTCTCGGGCTCGTTTATTTCGACCACAAACAGAGGACTAAAAACTTTGGCTGCCTCTAAGGTTGTCAGATCTGCAGCCAATTTGAAGCTGAAAAACTGGGAAATCCTGTAAACTGCTTTTTGATGTGCAGCGTTTCGCACAAACCCACTCGTGCACTCACCGCCGACACATCCAGAAGTACTTTGCCTCCTCCATTCGATCTGCCAAACGCCCGTTTTAAAAGCGCCCTTACATGTGTCATAATAACAATATAGCAGAAGCACACGGCGGGGAAACACACACACAATTATACACAAACTGCTGTCAGCTGTCATCGGTTTAAGAAGAAGCCCGGTCCGGGCTGGGAGGACGATCACGTCATTTTCAACATAAAACATCTTTTATCCTCGCCGGAGCGCCGAGTGCTGAATCCTCTTCCTTTTCAGGATGAGCCTTTTGTTCTGCAGCAGCAGCCCCAAACACTAATCAAGACCCACTGTCTGGAGACGGGAGGGTGACGGGGTGGGTGGGCTGTTGTTTTATTTTCAATGAGGCCCGTGTGCAGTAAATTCACTACTCGCTTTAGTTACGTTCAGCTGTATTCAACACTTTAATCACCAGCTTCACTGCAGAGATGAAGAAGTTTTAATCAACTGCTTTGAGAGCGCGCACACGTCAGCGTGTCTCACGTGTCACTTTATAAGATCCACCGTGTGTTGAAGAAGCGCGCGAGATCACAGCCAAAGCTGCGCGACGGTGCAGCTTTAATAACGAGTCGACCAAATAACTGGATACAGGTTTGTTTTCAGTCAGCACAGCTGCCAGCAGCCGTGCTGTGAGACTCACAGGGTTCCAGATGGATGCAGATATGTGCGTGCTGTTTTATCTGTTTTCCATTGTTATTGCAGCAATAACAGTATTGATTTAGTAACGGCACTTGATTAGTACAATCAGCAGAGGGTGTAAAAAATACAATAAAATGGATAAAATAAAAGTTTTTGGAACTGCAGGCAAACTCAGTTTCTGATAAATAAAAATGGCGACGCCCTGCTTATGAGAAGTTATTTGGCTAACCTCCCATTCCTGGTTGTTTCCTCTGCACTGTGTTCAGTGTTGCTCTGAGTTTTACGGTGCAGGTGATGATCACTGGAGGTCCTGCTCTGCTCTCATCTATGTGCACATTTGCAGTTTCAGCTCAGACCCACAGACCAACTTTTACTTTGAGCACTTTTATTGTTCCTGAGGTCGCCGTGAGTAAACTCAGAGGTGAGGAGCCTGTTTCCTTTGCCAACTGTCTGCAGTGCACTGAAGTGAAGTGAGAATGACGAGCCGGGAGAAAAGCATAGTTCAGAGGCGGCACGGAGACGAGAACCCGCAGAATTGAAAACGAGACAAAGAAAATATCCAGAGATACAAGAAAGAATGTTCCCTCCTCGAAGCTAAGCAGACATTTGTTTGCTTGAAGCTGCTCCCCTCTGTACCGCAGCTCTGCAGTGAGCCTCCACAATGATTTATTGCTTTGTTTTGATGCAAATGAAAGCCAGAGCCTTTCCTCCAAATGACTATCCCCATCGCTGCAGGCAGCCACTACTGAATGCTCCCTACCTGCCATCACAAGTAATTCTCAGCCTCAGGTAGCTGATTTACTGCCTAAACAGCGCTGAGTGCATAAACGCACAAAGACGCTCAAAGACACACGTAGAATACAGGCAGGAAGGCAGAGACAGTGGGAGTGCGCGTTGGACCGCAGCTAACACTGTGATCAGTGCAGCAAATTATACATGAGCTGAATGTAGTTACTGTACACGTTGGGGCCATACGTGAGCGCTCTGTGCAGTTTCACCGCGTGTTTCACTCAGGGTCATGTGGCACACGAGGGTTGTTTTGTTATAGTTACAGGCTGTCACATCCTCATGTGTTTGTTTGTTCTGCAGTACCCGTCCCGACCCCACCACCCACCAAGCCCCCGACCACCACGCCTCCACCCACAATCCCTGCTGCCAAGGAAGGTAGGAGAGCAGTTCTAATACTGTTATTGATCGTCTCATCTTTCGATCTCTTTATGTTGATGTATTGTTGTTGATGTGTTTTGGTGACATCAGGCTGCATCCAAACAGCTTCTTTTATTTATTTCTTTTGCTCAGTTTTCAGTAAATATGTATAAATATTTATGTATTCTAGTTTGACTGGTTTGTTTTTATGAAACGTTTTGCATAACCAGCTTTGATATTCTGATTTGTAGTAGGAGACCTTTTATTATTTTATAGGTGTGCAGTCAGATATGTCAGTGGCCCCCAGCCCCCGGTACCAGTCCGTGAGTCGTTCGGTACCGGGCTGCGAGATTTGAGGCTCGGGTGTGAAATTTCTGGTTTTCAGAGTTTTTATCGTTAACTTGGTTTCCCTGGGTTTTATTGTGTCTTATTTTGAAATAACTATTTACGCGTTACCATAGCGACCAGAGAGCATTAAGGGGCAGAGAGGAGGACGTTACTCTCAATGTTGTTGGTGCATTTCAGGAGGACGCTGCTAATAACGTTACACAATTACACAGTACATCCACGTTTACTATTATATTTACAGAGACAGTTTTTGTCGTATTATTTTATTTTGTTGTATTTATCCGCGTGAAGATAGTGTCTGACGTGAAACCGGCCCGTGGCCGCTGTGATATGTGACACACTGTCTGAGATTGGCATGATGACGTTTTCTTTATTAACATGACTGAAGTCCAGGCACTAACGTTTTGTACAATTCACTTGATAAGTGGAGGACAGTGGGTGGATAGACTGTACTGTAGTATTTTATGTGTGGACTGTGTACCACGATTGGACGAAGCCTGGCTGAGTCTGGAAAGTGAAGCCAGAGGCTCGAAGAGGCTTTTCGGGGACCTGGTGGTGTTTCAGCTGCGCCCCCACAGACAGCTGTTCAGAGACTCCCGCTTCACTCACCATCCTCTCAGTTCACAATAATTCAGCTGTTAGGTGCTGTGATTGTCAGTGTCACATCTCTCCACCTGTCAGACCCACAAAGTGCTGCACAAGCCAGTTACATTATCACACAGCAAAGACGATGGTTTTGTAACCTGGTAACAAGAGTTTGAGATAAGTTCACGAGCTCTTTCCTCATCTGGCAGCCATAGTTACCAGTTACCTTTATTTACTTCTTATTATTATTATTATTATGAGATTTCTCATTTAAGTTAAATATAATCTCTCTGTACTTGACACGAGCTTTAAATAGGCTGCCAGACGCATTCAGGGCGAGCGTTAAATGATGCACTTAATCTTCAATTTAAGGCCAACTGTTGCCTTTTTCACTCGGTGCTTTGTTTGTTTCCTCGTGTGGACGACATTGAATAGTTGTACACTCCACTGGAGCGCCGTCAGAATAATAGCATCGTGTGAATGTGAATGAATGTCAAAGATGTAATGAAGAATATTCTCAACGAGTCTAAATGATGACTGCAATTAACGCAGAACTGCAGCTTCCACACAGCCACAAGACACTAGAGCCATTACAGCTAAAGAACTATAAAGTACGACATAATCAGCCCGAGGAATTCAGTGTGCGGATAGCTCTGAACATTAGTAAGGGAAGCTTCATTTTACCATGGAAATGTCTTCATATCAGACAACACTGCAGATCGTCCTCATCCTCACAATGTGACAGTGTCTCAGGTCAGGTTTTATCCTCAGATCATCTTTGCTGGGACAGAAAACATGTATATCAATGACACTGTTACAGGAAATATAAACCCAATCTGCAGCTACAAGCTGAAACCGATAAAAACTAAATGCATAAATACTTCCGTTCATTTTTAAAGTATACGTTTTTTAAGACGTCCTGTGAAGTATTTTGGGGGGCAGAGTTTGATCCATATGCCCACCTATCAAATGTCACTCGTTAAAGAAGCAAATCTGCAGCAAAGTCTGAAACTTGCTGTAATTTCTAATGAGATCAGCTTCAGAGACATATCAGGCTGAGAGTCTCAGTAGACTTTCTCTTGATGTCACAGACAGTCAAAATGCAGACAAGCTCACTGCGCTATAGAAGGAAGTAGGTCTCCTATTGGCTGCTTTTTGGGGTTCCTGTCACTAAAAGCCAACCTTGTTACAAACTGATCCTCACGCTGGCCGGGCAGGAGAATGAGAGCTGAACAAAGAAGAGCAACGCTTCTCAGCTCCAATAACAACACACACAGTAACATGTGACACACAGTGTGTCTGACGTCAGTGTAATTATAAACCGAGCGAGTCTTGGATCTGTTACAGCGGTTCTCATTCTTCTCCTGCCGTCACCACAGAATCACCAGCTTCACTTTCAAGCTGCCACAAAAGGTTTCATCACCTCTGAGAGAAGAAAAAAACACTATCAGGTGAAATGAATGAGTCTTATCTGTTATCAGTTATGTAGCATGTGCAGCAGGTTCGTGTGATTGAGGACAGACGTGGGAACAAGTGAAGAGTGTTGAGAAGGTGTAAGGAGTACTTTGAGGAGCTGAAGAGCATCGAAAATGAGTGAGAGAGAGAGAAGAGGATGGATGGAGGACAGTAAATCAGAAACCAGTCGTGGACCTCTGCATCCACAAAAGATCCACGATGTCCTTTCATTCCTGAATAAACCAGATTAATCAGAGCTGACCTGAAGAATCAATCCAGAGAGACCCAAACACGAACATCGACAGCAGCATGAGCTCGCTGCTTTGTCTTACCATTAACAAGCGCTCTCCATGGGACAGAGCAGAAATGTAGTAGTAAGAATGCACCAGCATAGAATCACTCTGCTTTCACGACACATTTATTGAACAAAAACAGAGAAGGATGCTGTTTACGTGCTGTCGGCATCAGCGAGGAACAAATAAGGACACATTTACACACAAATGAAGACCTGTGGTGATTTAGAGAGAAACAGAACGATCTGGACCGAGTCAGAAAGAATCCACTGACAACTAAACGAAATAAAAGCAATAAACCTTTCAGGCGCCCTGCACATAATGTGGAAATGTGCTTTCTGCATAAATCTTATTTGTGATGATCCAGAAAATTCAGAGGATTGATCACAGAGATCAACACATTCAAATCATTCTGGCTGACGAGGAGAACAGTGGTTGTTTCCTCCTCACGTGTTTGATTACAGCCTCCTCTACAGCCCCGGCAGGTACGCTGCGGCAGGTACTTAGGAAACACTTCCACATGTCCCAAATATGGGATTCATAAAGTATTTCTTATCTCATCATCGTCTCATTTCAGTTTTTTCATCACTAGATGTGCACTAGCTTTTTAAAGAGCATCATCATCTGGTCCCTGCTCAACCCTGAATAGGATAAAAGATGAAGAAGAGGAAAGGATGACTTCATCTTTTTACATCTTTCATCCAGTTTCTCCACATTTGATAAATTCTCTTTGAATTACTGCTAATATTTCAGTTGCATTTGATTTGAAATATGTTTAATTAGTTCAGCAACTCTCTAAAAAAATCCACACATCTGTGGGTGGAGTCAAAATGCTGTAGTTCTGTACAGTGTTATGCCACAAGGGGGCGCTATACTGACAACAGAAAAAACAAAATCACTACTATCGCACTGAAGGTTAGAAACACAGTTCCACCTTGAAAGCTCAGGCTTGTTAGGATGACAGTAATGTGTAATACCAGCATAAAACTGTAAATCTCTCTCCTGCTTTCAGCTGCTCTGTCAATGTTCTGCAACCACCTGCAGTTTTGACAGCAGTGAACCAAAGTGTCCTTACAAAGAACGGGTGAATAATTCTAACAATCAACTTACAAAATATTATATTTGAGCAAAACAGCAATTTGAGTTTCACTCAATCTGTTTTCAGACTTCAGAACAAAGTCAGTTTGATTCCTCCTGAGATGTGTTTATGAAATGTTTGCAATAAACAAAGAGTCGAATGCCGGATTGAAGCGTCTGCAGATCAATGTGGCGCCGGCTGACCCTTAAATAGGGTTTGATTAGAGGAGAGAAGGAAGTGATTGGAATGACTTTCGAAGAGCAGCAGAAGCAGCTCTGTGTTTTGCATTTAATGTGTTTCAATCGTTTACAAGTCGAAAGCTCTTTGAGTGCAATTAATCACAGGATTGCTTCACTCACAAGCTGCTTTTATTCATCGGTTTCTAAATGAAGCCAGTTTGTTTATTTTCACGGCAATAAAGCAAACAAATGAAAGCAAGTGGATAAATATGTGTTTTTAATGATAAATTATCCTTCAAAGTAAAAGAAAGCCAATCAAAAATGATCACAATGAACGTTCCAACAAAACCCTTCAATCAGCTATTTTCAAGCTTCCATACAGCAGACTCACAACTTTTTACTTATTCCCATTTGAAGTGTTGCCTTTGTGAGTCAACCAGTTGCTGTTGTTGTGTTTACTTCATGTTTCTCTGTCTCCTCGTTCAGTCTGTAAAGCTGCCAAAGCAGACTTGGTCTTCCTGGTTGACGGTTCCTGGAGTATCGGAGATGAAAACTTCCTGAAGATCATCCGTTTCCTGTATAGCACCAGTGGAGCTCTGGACCGGATCGGCCCGGAAGGCACACAGGTACCACCGAGGGCGACCTGTTAGCCTTTAGCAAGCAGTTCTCTGAGAGCTTTGGCGTGTGTTGCTTCTGGTAGCTCTCAGCGCCGTGCTTTGACTGACAGGTTGTTGACAGACATGCCACAAAAATACCAGAAAAACAATGACTTGATGGGAAAATGTGCACTTTGCCTGAGGCACAGCAGGCTCCTCGTCCTCACTGTGGATGGTGGAGGTTTGCCGCGCGCTGCTTTGGCAGCACAATGAAAGAGATCATCAGTGGCGGTGTCAGCGCTGACTGTGGGTGGGCCAATCTACAGCCCACTGCACATACCACACCTGTTTTATCAATGTGTGAAGACCAGCCTCACACTGTCATACAAACCCTGCGTGTTGTTGTTTTTATGGATAAATATCGTTTTATTATTCAAATATTAATTAACCAAAGTGTTGTCGCCTGGAATGACGCTGCAACGGTGCGACTGCGAGCCAGCGATGGTCATCGTTTGTTGGCTGATGAATCTGAAATCATAGAATAGAATTCAACTTTATTGTCATTGCACATGTCACAAGTACAAGGCAACAAATGCAGTTTGCAGAAAGTGCTTTAGCAAAAATATAGATATATTACAAAAATGTGTCTATTATTGGTATGAAGGTGTGTTATGAATATGCTATAAGTTTGTACAGGCTGTGAACAGGATATAAATATGAGGACTATACAGAAATATGAACTATACAAGTTCTAACAGTTGTAGAACTATAATTATTATTGTACAGAGTGATTGTCTGTACAGCAGCTACAGTGAGATATGTGGCTCCTACAGAGGTTCTATAAAGTGCTGGTGGGTCAGTCCCTGTTATTATTGTGTGTATGAGGGTCCAGTTGTTTGTTTTTGTCCATTGTGTGTGTCTGTAGGTGGTTGTGGGTGTGTTTAGTCCATGAGTTTAACGTGGGTCAGCTGTCAGGAGGCCGAGGAGTCTGACAGCTGTAGGGAAGAATCATCTCAGCAGGGTTGAGGTCAGGTGACTGTTCGTATGTCAGAGAGCTTTTACGTAAACGTATCCAACAACTATCCAAGTAAGTTCACACAGTGTGGAGATAAACAGCAGTGACCCCAGCAAAGCTGCTTCCCTCTCCATCACTGCTGCTCCTCCACCCTCCACACATGCAGGGACCGTCCTCTCACCTGTCTCACGAAGAAACCACAGCTGGATTCATCAGTGTCACATTTGCAATGTGACACTGATGAATCCATTGGTTTAATTCCCATCTTTATAGTCATGATTCTCAGCAGTTCTCTTATTATTATTATTATTATTATTACTGTCAGCCTGTGTAAGACGTGATTGTCTGTAGCTGTTAATGTGGAGACGTTTGTTCTAACGAAGACCATTTCACTCATGATGTAGCTGCATATTCATGTTTGCCAACACTACCATTGATACATCACAGCTGATCATATGAAATCATCTTTGTGGAAAGACTTAAAGACCGCGTGCTATGAATTTTCTTCTTACCAGATCACATTTGATTTATCTTGAGTCATATCTTCACTATTGTGGGACGTGACAGGAATAAGACTACCATGTGCACAGAGCGGCCTCCTGGGTAATTCAATTGTAAAAAATCTTTAAACTCAAAGATTCGATTTCTCGTGGTTGTTTCTTTGGCCTCGCTTGGACCTCTTCATCTAAATGAGTTTCCCCGTCATCTGTAGGAGCGTCTGATGCACTGTAGATGCAAAGAAAAGGGAAACTTTCCAGGACAAACGAGAGGAAGAGAACAAACTGTTTACATACAGCAGTTTTCTCCCAGTTGAGCTAAACCTCTTTTTCACTCCTGTGTTCAGAGCCTCGGTGTAGCGAGTCAGCACCAGCGCCAAGTTTCCTGTAAGCTGCTCTCATTTAGATTTTTTGTTATTTACAAATAAAGAATGTTCCTGAGTGGTCTCCCAGGTGGCCACAGCCCACTTCACTCATGAAACAGCTCATCTGCACGCTCTGTGTTACAGCTGCTCACGTGTCTGTCAGTGCTCCTCTTTCCTCCCCGTTCAGCTCCGTTCAGTCACAGTGGCATTAAGTATCGGCTCAGTTTGTCTGAGCTTTAGAGAACATTGTACATACTGTCTTTAAATGCTGTGATATACTGTAGAACAAAGCGTTCCAGGTGGAAGAAAACAACAAAACAGAAGGTAAATATGAACGTCAGCATGATTTTATGAAGCAGTCTAAACTAAGAGCTGTGGCTCTTTCTGAACAACAACCTGGATGTCGATCAAAGTAACTGAAAAAATCTAATCTGCCCTAAAGAGGGTTAAACAGGCTCTCACTAGCAGCTCAAACACACTGCCAGACTGATCCACTGGTGCTGGCCAAGAGCTCGCTGAGTGCTCCACCCAACTCACTGAGTCCTGTACCTGAGGCAGCGAGCAGCAGCACACAGCCACCCACAGCAGGTTCAAGCCAGGAACAGATGGAGAAGGAATACAAACGTTTTGAGTTCAAACAAACAAAAAATAATTGCTTAAAAATATATAGCGTGGGGTTAATGTACCTCACTGTTTTAAATTATCCCATCTAACACAGCCTGACTCTTTGCCCGCTGCAGGCGTATCATCCGCCCGTATTATCTCATACTTTATTATTGAAAACAAAACTCTATCCTCCATTTTTCATAGTTTTTAAATGTAATAATTCTTAAAGACCTGTCCAGTAATAACCTGATTCGTTAGGAATGATTTTGACGGGAGAATCGAGGCTCTCGTTGCAGCGGTGTAACCCTCCTCCGTTTCCATCATCATTATCCTTCTCTGCTCTTTGTGGTCGTTACAGTCGCTCTGTACCAGCCCGGGCTGTGATGCTGATCACGTGTAGTGATGCTGAATGTGGTTTCAAATAGAATCACGGTTGTATAAAAGTAATACAAACATGATGTTCACTTTCTAAAGGATGACCCCATTCGAGTCTGAAAGGAGGATTCATGGAGATCAGCTTTTCTGTATTCTGTGACGGTGCTTCTTCTCGTAGTCTCCTCCTAACCCTCGTCCCCTACACCTAACAGTGGCCTACTTCCTCTTTTGGTTTATTAGCTACGTTCATGTGTTTTGTGACAGGTGGCTATTGCCCAGTTCAGCGACGATGCCCGGACAGAGTTTAAGCTGAACTCCTACAGTGACAAGGAGGGTCTGCTGGACGCCATCAACAAGATCTCCTACAAAGGAGGAAACACTAAGACAGGTGAGGACGCGCACAGCATGCAGGCTGCTGCTTTTCTGTGAAAGCACTGCGTATGAGTCACTGACGCTGGACGAGCGTGCTGCTGGAGTCTGCTAGAGTTTCAGGATGACAGATGTTGGCGTGCGCGCTTGAAGCCGGTGCGATACAGTGTATGAATGTATACAAGCTGTGCGACTGTGACGGATCAAATCCGTCTTTACCGCGGCAGAAATAATCTCTAAATCTGAGAAAGACGCCTGGTCGAGACAAATCCACAGTGTAACGTGCACACGCTCAAACACAACTCCCTCGTGACGTTATCAATGCTACTGAGCAGGAGGTGACCGCAAACAGAAAATGAAATCACTGTGGAAAAGTGTGTTGTCCTCTCGGCTCTGTGTCAACATGCGTGTGTGCAAGTCGAGCGTGTTCATGCATAGTCTTATTCATGGATGTGTGTGTGTGCGCGATGAGAGGAAGTCTGCAGGGAAGCAGTGAGAGTCATTAATCGCTGTTTACAAAGCAGCGCGGGCGGTTTCTCCTACAGGGATGAGACTGAGGAGAATAGATTTGTAACAGCGTCACTGGTGGGGAGGAATTCTCCCACTGCTGATGCGTTGCTGTAAAACACTAATCCTCCGTTTCTCACAGGAAGCAACAGTTTCTGGGATCGCCGCGTTGCAATTAGCAATGTGCTTTCTGTTGTTTCCAGAGGCCTAGAAAACGTCTGATCTCTGGATGTACTAACGGCCGTGCAGCAGCCTCACATCCAGGCAGGTGCTCATGGATTTGTTAATGACTCAGTCAAGCTGTGGTTTAAGGTGTGGGTCTGAGTAAATATACAGAAAAGAGACAGAAGAGGCTCAGTAGATGATCATTATTTGACTTTATGGGGTTTTTTCCATTTATGCACTAAAGACATAAAGTGCACTAGTTCCAGAGTTTCCTGATTCTTAAGCAACATGAAGACGCGGCGCCGGGAAACGTCATGACCAAACACCAAAGAAGAAGACTCAAATCAAGAAACAGCTTATAATCACAATATATAACATAAATAGCAATAATAATACTACTAAAAATATAGTCATCTTCATCATTGCTCATTATGTTGGTCGTTGCTTTGTTAATTCTGCAAAATGAAATGAATATTAAAGCCTATGAAACAAATATTAAGCAGTGGAAAAACCACATGAGCCTGTATGAGCACATTTATAAGGCAGAAAAGAACAGAAACATTCAAATAAACATCTAAATATTAATATGTGATGGTAACTGTTGGTAGTAATGTGTAAAATTTGATCATAGTTGAAGAGTGTGAGTAAGTCGGGGGTCCCGGGTGTCTGGTGGGTGTCTGAGCCTGCAGCGCAGTGGCTCTGGGCAGCCTTAGATGTTGAGCTGGTCCTCCAGCTGCTGCAGAAACATGAATTCTCTTCACACATTCAGTGAAACTTGTGATGTGATTTCCCTGGTGGGACGCTCTGATGCAACACTCTCTGATGTCCTGTACATCAGCAAGGCATGCATCAATAATCGTGTCCTTTCATCACGAATAATGCTACAGTTTGGAGTCAGATCTTCATCCTGCACTGATGAATAATTAGCATGAAATTTGAAATTAACTGATCGTGTCAAGTTTATGTCGTACAAACCCTTAAGCTTCCTTTCTTTCATGTTTTTAATAGTTAACTCTGTAAACAGGGATCCTCTGAAGCTGATGGTGCTGCAGGATTTTCTGACTTCCTCTCAGAATAATGTCTGCCACACCGGAGACTGCAGCTGAAAATTGATTAATTTTGATTTCCCATCACTGCCAAGTCCGCTGTGACAGACCTGCAGCTCCGCTAATGACTTTTTTAACCAGAACAGATGGTGTGAAGTCAAATCAGCATAATAAAAAAATCCTCTGGTAATAGACATGTTGTTTCAAATAACTCGTCTGCTGCTTTTTCTCAACTACTGAGAATACGAAGCTGAAAACTAAAAGTAGAATATTTGGAGTTATTGGAGATGGTTGTTCTGTCTGCTCACTCAGGTCGAGCCATCCAGCACGTGAAGAAAAACATCTTCACAGAGGAGGCAGGAGCGAGAAGAGGAATCCCCAAAGTCCTCGTGGTGCTCACTGACGGTCGATCTCAGGATGACGTCAACAAAGTCTCCAAAGAGATGCAGATGGAAGGTCAGAACGGTTTCTGTGTGAAGCTCTGAAGAAGGCCTAGAGCTGCGGTCTGTGTTACTGGAAGGCCAAACTTCATCTGCCTTTAAAATGTGCAAGAGTCTGCGTTCATATTGCTCCTCCAGTTTTCCTGCAGTTGGAGACATGGATCTTTCTCTCTCTGAATTCTCATCAAAGGTTACATCGTGTTTGCCATTGGCTTCGCTGATGCTGACTACGGGGAGCTGGTGAGCATCGCCAGTAAACCCAGTGACAGGCACGTCTTCTTTGTGGATGACCTGGACGCCTTCAAGAAGATTGAAGAGAAGCTGGTGACCTTTGTGTGTGAAGCTGCAACTGCCAGTGAGTCCCTGACCTGACGTTAGAGCTAAATGTAATCCTGAAGAGATCCCTGCACTGGACATTATAGAGTAAATTATACAACATGTGGTGCTTTTTCCGTACATTAATAGAAATGGTTGAATGTGGTGGTTTCTAAATATTTGTCATCAAACTCACTTTTTGCCTTTCCCAGCGTGTCCGGCTGTGCCGATGAGTGGCAGCACGATGCCAGGTAAGAGCTGGAGCGCTACTGCAGCCAGCCTGCTGTGTCCACGTGTCCACGTGTCCACGTGTCCATGTGTCCACGTGTCACAGTCTCCGTTATGAGTGCTTACAGAATAACTTCAAATAGGAAACAGAATATAAATCAAGTGTGAGCTGTGGCTTTAATGTGTTTGGATGAACACAATAATGTTAAAGCTCTAACCCTTCATTTCAAACAGTATGGAGAGCCAACACTGCCAACACATGTACAAACAAATAACTTAAACAACTGAGAATGTTGTTCATCAAAATGTCATTAATCATCAACATATCATTCTTTTTTATTATTATATTTAACTTTTCAGAATAAGCTGTTGCTCTGTTTTATTTCTTCTGTATTTTTTCTTTTCATTTTAATACATTTTAGTTATTTGTTTTATTTTAATAGCATAATTTACATATCCTCTTTTTGTGTGTTTTGAATAAATGCAAAATCAAATTAAATGGTATCTGTTTAGCTGACATTTCATGAATAAATAGATTTCTATTGGTTTTTGCTGCATTTATATTCATTAAAAATGCACCAATACATTTGCTGAATATGAGTAAGGGCCAGTATTTAACAGATGGTGTTTACTGTTGACAGAGACATCTGTGGTATCACATCAATATCTTGCTGGGCGAATTGAAGCTCTGAAAGACAGAACAGGGCAGATATGTTTTATAATGAAGAGCTCTGACAAACAGCAACAACAGCTGAATAAAAGATATTAAGCTATTTGTTATTCAAACATCATCATCAGCCCCAGATTTCACAGTTGGCACATGTTTGTATTATATTATATTATATTATATTATATTATTGAGTCACTTTGTTATTTCTTTTTAATTATTTTTATTTTTGGCAGTTTTGGCCCTCTATACTGGTGAAAACTGGTATGTTTAAAATGATTGGCTGAATTAAATATCTTGTATCCTGCTGTCATGTCTTGTATGTCTGGACTGCTTTTTCTGCAGCTCTATATTTCTTTACTTACAAATGTACAAATACTTCCTCTGAGCTTTTTTGCTGTTTTTCTGCTTGTTGTAACTTGTTGAAAACTCATTGAAATGGTTACAACAGGTGATAATTGCTCCTTGTGTCATCAGGCTTTCGCATGATGGAGCTATTCGGGCTCGTGGAGAATCGGTACAGCAGCATGTCTGGCGTTTCCATGGTACCCGGCACCTTTAACACGTTCCCCTGTTTCCACCTGCACAGCGACGCGCTGCTGGCACAGCCAACCAGGTACACCGGACACAGTCTCCACGCTCATAAAAATAGCACCTTATTTATTGGAAGCTTCACTGCTGCACCTTGATGGAAAAGACATCATAGCATGTTTTTCAAAGACAGATGAAAGTGCAGCAAATAGCTTCTGGAAGGAGAAGCAAGCTTTGATTTCACCAGCTGAGTATCAGCATCCAGAGCCCATAACCCTCACTGTTTGACCTAAAAGAGACATCACCAATGAGGACGTTTACCCGGCTCTGATGTTTTCACCCTGGCTCACAGGTACATCCATCCTGAGGGGCTGCCTTCTGACTACACCATCACCCTGCTGTTCAGGCTGCTGGCCGACACTCCCGAGGAGCCTTTTGCGCTCTGGGAGATCCTCAACAAGAACAACGAACCTCTAGTGGGCGTCATCCTGGACAGTGAGCTGAGACGTGTTTATTTGTTTCCACTTTATTTCTAGACTCAAACCTACCAAAATAAATCAGTGAACACAACATATTTGCCTGATGTTAATGAAAAGGAGAGTCGGGTGCAGTGCAAGCTGCTGTTCTACTTCTGTTAAACTCGAGTTAAAATTCTGAACAAGATTGTTGCTTCTTATAAATGTTGTGTTTTATTTGTTGATTTATGTTTTTTTAATTCTCATGTTTCTTCCTGCAGATGGAGGAAAAACTCTGACGTTTTTTAACAATGACTTTAAAGGAGAGTTTCAGACAGTCACCTTCGAGGGGCCAGAAATAAAGAAGCTCTTCTTTGGAAACTTCCACAAGGTCAGAATCACACCCGACCTCCGCTGTCTGTTTGCCTGACACGTGGATGATTGATCGTCTGATTGGCTGACAGGCTAGAGAATAATTTGAACTTTAACCCTTAAATATTTACCAAGATGATGTGTGACATAGTTGTTGTGCAGTCAGCAGAAATCATACAAGCAAAATATTTTATAAGCAATATTAAAAACACAGTGAAGACCAGTGGAAGCTGGGACAATGGTGTTGGAGTCTGTCTGTCCTGCACATTAACATACAGTCTGTGGCCTGATGGAAGCTCCTTTGATAGCTAAATACAGCTGCGTGCAGGTGTGGGAGGTCCTGCAGGCTGCAATCACACGTTGAAGGTGCTTTTAGTTTTTAGGGTGGGGTAAACCGAACCCGCTGACAAAGGAACATGTAAAAACAAAGCAGATGCAAGAAATAGTTTGTGATGCGTCCAAGAGGGAAAACGTGTTGGTGGAAGTGTTTGAAGCAATACAGGTCTGGTAATATTTTACTGAGATTTTAAGTAAGTAAAGTTTATTTATTAAGCGCTTTTCAAAGACAGGCAGTCACAGAGCGCTGAGCATGAAGGATGAAATAAACAGGTTAAGTGATAAAATAGAAAATATAAGCAATAGAAAGGGTTAAATGTTTAAAAGCGTTGATCAACAGAAGGCTTGTTTGAACAGAAAAGGTTTTATCTGCTTTCTAAAGGATTCCACAGAGTCAACCAATCGCAGCTGTGGTGGTAAACTGGTCCACAGACTGAAAGGCTCCGCCCCCTTTGCTCCAACAAACTCCGAGCCTGTGAGCAGAGGCAACGAGCTGCTGTGTATTTTATGAGGAGTTTGGATTAATAATCTGGGGGCCTGGTCATCTACTGCTCTGTATGTTAATCTACTGGGGGCCAGTGCACTTGCTAGAAGATGTTAGTAGCCTGGCTGCTGCGTCTTGTGTAGTTTGGAGGTGATGATTGTAGGTGGTCAAACATGCTGAGAAACTTTCCCTTCTTTAAGTCTTATTGGTGTTCTTATGCAGTGGATTGATTAAAATTATATAGATGTTTTTCCTCTGGTTTGTTGACTGACAGCTTCACAGGTTTCTATTGACAAGCTCCGGTCCTTCCCCTCCTTCGCTCCCTGCACTTGTTCCTCTGCCACGCGAGGCCCTGTCGAGCAGTGTGACAGTAGTGGAAGTCCTGACAGGCGTACTGTAGTTGAGTCGTGCCCCGAGCCTGAACCTGCTTGCAGTCGTGTTGTGTTTTTGTCGGCGTGTCAGAGCCGAGGGACGCTGACTGATCTGCTGTCTGCGCGCTGTCAGCAGAGCTTATCCTCCTTACCTTTTCACCCTTTGTTCTGCTTGCTCTGCATGTGTGTGCGCGTCTGCCTCTGCATACATTTTTAAATCCTAGACCAGCATCTGTAGCGCCTACCTGACAAGTCTGTGTGACATTTGTATAGGACTCTGTGATTATGGATCAGAGGACTCAAATGATTTGATAGTCAGCTCAGTTTGGCAATTATCCTGCTTTTAAGTACTTTGAAGATTAAAAAAGTCTCCTGTAAGTTCTCAAGTTCACTTTTTCTTAAACTTTTTCTCAGTTATTTGACAAACGCAGGATGTGTGTGTTGTAGTGGCTAAAAAACTGACATTTGGAAACATGACTGAACATCTACACTGCACACACATGTGGGCATCCACAGCTTTAAACCTTGTTTACATGTTCCAAAAAAAAGGTTTTAGGTTCTATCTCTTTAAGACCGCCCACTTAAAGATCCCTTTCTTCTGATTGGCTGCCCTCACTGGTTTCCTGTTCTTGAACATCTGGATGTTAGTGACATCATCATGCAGTATGAAGAAAGGTCTGCAGTTGCTCTTGTTTCATCATTATTATTATTATTATTATTATCATTAGGAAGTTTGGGATGTGTAGAAATTCTAGTCCCGTCCTTCCAAATATAAAACGCATGTTAGCTTCAGTGCAACACTTTCAGCTGCGGTGACTTCCTTCTCACTTTCTCGCTGTATTAACATTAAATTTAATGTTTAATTCCAAATGCAACACAACATTAACCAAAGTAGACATCAAACTGTCAAAGAACCGCAGATTGATTTCTGCAGTGGAAATGAATCTGACTTTTGCAGGCATTAGTAATCTGAATTATTATAATCATTTTTTTCAACCCATAATTTTGCAGACTATAATTATCTGAGGATGCAAAGCAGCCAGAAAAGTATTTCATCCAACATTAAGATCCCACCTAAAAGTAAAATAGTGTGTTTATCTCCTGTGATCCAGGTTATTACAGGAGCTTTGAAGGCTTCACAAACGTTCGTCTCCAGCTGTCGGAGAAAATAGAAACATTTCTTCTTCCGTGCGTACGTGTCACAATTTGATGCAGGCATATAGAAACTCAAATTACAGAGCAGACTTTTTGGGTTTACAGCCTGTTGTCTTTATAGCAGCATGCGTATGTTTAGCATTTTCAGTGTTCGCTCTGCCAGGATAAACATAGACCCTTTTAACAGTTTAATTTGCACTTTTCAAAAGTAGCGAAACACGAACAAACAACTCAGATGGTCCAAAAACAGCTTCTCTGTAAACCGCATCACTTTCACCAACGCACAACAGTGCACTTACAGACGGAGGTCAGTGGGGTTTCAAGGTGTGTTAGTGTGTGTGCATTTGTGTGTACTGCTGCTGTGAAACCAGCAGAGTCGCTGACGGCAGCCTGGTGGTCTGCTGCGATATTGGGAGAGGAGGGGTAATGGTGTCGAGGAGCCACTCGGAGGAGACGGGCGGCGTTTTATCCGCCTCGCAGTTCAGCTCTCGACTGTCCGTGATGGTGACAGTAATACCTGTGTGTGTCTGTGTGTGTGTGTGTGATTATAAATAGTGATGTCACTTAGTCTCAGTCTACTCTGCTGGTTTGTGTCCCAGTTCCAGCTCAGGCTGTGCAGCTGCTGTAACACTGTCCTGTGGGAACAGTGCAATGTGCTCCCTGTGGGGTGTTTTTCCTTTAACATTAAATTAATTGGATGTGGCTCATTGTATTATTTTATTCCAGCCAAATATCCTTCAGTTCTTTTTTAACCTTATTAAAACAGTTTATTAGCTGCTGTGTGTTTTAATGCACATTTAAATGCAATTTAATAATAATTTAATTATATAAGTGCTGGAAACAGTTCAAATATAGTTGTACTCTGTGATATTCTGTTCCTGTTCTGTGGGGCTTTTTAGCCTCCCTGGGTGAAGGTGCAAAGGTCAAAAATCCTCTTTGACAGAAAGAAAACGGCTGAAAGAGGACAGACCTGTGCCTGGACTGGTGACTGAGAGGAAGGAGAAAAGAAAAGTCCATAAATAAGTTCACATGTGAAGTAAGAGAGAAGTCGTGCGAGGTCTCCCAGCAGTCTGAGCTGTAATTTTAAATCCTTTGAGCTGTTCTTGTGTGTTTAATGTTTGTGCACTGTTGGTGCTCGGTGTTATTCAACTGTTACTGTGTCAGTGTGTGAGCACCGCACTGACAAACATGAAGAACAGCTCGGTCATGTTACGGCTTCACAGGAAGAGGGCGCTGTTCTCCTACTTTCTGCAGGCCGAGACGTCTGCAGGGCTTCTAAATGCTGCTGATGTTTGTGAGGAGTCATAATCATCACAGATATTAATAATAATTGCTTCTTTATTAACAGCATTTATCACTTGTTTTGCATTCATGTTTGGACCTCTAAAACTTTAAACGAGTGGCTGTATCTCTTCCTTCTCTGCAGCTTCACCTCGCCATCAGTAAGACGAGCGCCAAAGTGTTCGTTGACTGCAAGATGGTGTCTGAGAAGACCGTCAACGCAGCAGGAAACATCAGCACTGATGGGCTGGAGGTTCTCGGTAGGATGGTCCGCTCCCGAGGGAACAAGGACAACTCTGCACCGGTGAGAGCAGCACGCACACAAATACTGTGAACTGCAAAGGAAGCTGCTGGTTTGAGCCCCTGCTCCCTCTAGTCTGCATGTTGAAGTGTCCTTGGGCAAAATACCGAACCCCTGATGAGTCCATGAAATAGTGAGTGTTGGAAGGAACACTTTGACTGCTCAAATATAAGAACCAGTCCACACATCGTGGACATTAGTCTGCTATAAAAATGAAATATCAAAATGTTTCTGCGTGTTTCGGCCTTTTATGTGAGCCCAGAATAAATGTCAGAGTAAATCTCATTCAGTTACATTTAAGGACCCTGCAGTAAGTCAGAGAAAACCCCAAACAATCAGATGACTCCCTGTGAGCAGCACTTGGTGACAGCTGGAAGGACGAACTCCCTTTAAACAGGAAGAAACCTCCAGCTGAGCCCGGCTCACAATGGGGCAGACAAAGATGCACTGTGGGAGCAAACCAGAGAATAAAATTCATTACTAATGGTTAAATGCATCTGAACTGTTGTGACAAAACAAACATTTAGCTGCTGAAAAAGTAGCAAACGAAAACTGTTGTGAGCCAGCCTCATATCGCCTTTGGGCTTTTGGAGCCTTGACCTGACTTTTAAAAAGTTATTGGAAATAAAGCTCTATGCTGCTAAAAAATTAAAAGAAAAACAGATATTTGCAAAATTCTGCCTAAATATGTATTTTACCTGGTTAATGTGTGTGGCGGGGGGGGCGTGGTCTGCAGCGCCACTGCAGGGGAGGAGGATGCACCTGAGCAGCACCCACAATCACGCCTCGCCGCCTTAACGTCTGTGCCATCTATGCTGTTGTGTTGTTGTTGGTGTGTGTCGGGCTGTGGGCTGAAAAGCTACAGCCGGCTGTGTGCGTACAGCAACCGTGTGTGAGAAGTGGTCAATAAAGAGACGTTGTAAAGCGTGTTCATGCAAACATCGTCGGGTCTGCCGTGACATGTTTACAACGGGACTTCTGCTCCTGAACCTCTGCGCACAGCGTCTGCAAATCGGGGCTGTACGAAGTCACTTTCATCTTTACAGGACTGTAAGCTGTCGTCTGTGAGGCGTGAGCGTGTTTGTCTTTAACATAGTTCGCGGTGGAGAACAGCTGCTGACATAATGTGGATCCGAAGATCCATAACTGACCTACCTGGGGCTGAAAGTCTCCATAAATGCAGGCGTTTAGGCGGGTACACCGGCTTCCACGAGTGTGACGCTTAAAAAATAGTTTTATTTTTATTTCAGTATCGCAATAATCTTCCAATTTAGAACTACAAGTTAACAAGAACGAACATAAATAAAATACACTTCAGCTCAATTCGTCTCATTTATTTTCCCAAACCACGCGGAGCCGCAGTATAAGCACTAAAGAGCCGCAGGCTGGAACAGGCCTACACCCAGGGACAGAGTATGGGTGCACGTCATGCCCTCCTCAGACCCAAATCCACCACTGTCAGCCTTCCTGTGGTTTACTGCACATGTGATACATGAATTCTAACACTCAGGGTTTCCTCACATGCATGCTGCACTTTGTTCACTCTTTTTTTCTCCATCTTTCCTCGAGCAGTTGTATGAATGCAAACAAATCAATTTCCGGCCTCTCCTTCAGAAATAGCGGCGGCACAGAGGCCGTGTCTGATTGTTTGATCTCCCTTTGAAGAGAAAACGTGCAACGCCGACTTTGCTCCGAAGCTGCAAAACTCAACCGTTTGTGTCAAATAAGCAGCGTAATTATTTACTTATTTATTTTATTTCCCCGCCAGGCACGGCCGTGTCAGCGCCCAAAACGAAGCAATCGAGTACGGATTTATACTGGTGTCAAAATGGCAGCGAGATAAGGCGCAGCTTTTCATTTTCACTCATGCAAAATTCCTTGTGCGTGCATTCAGACCCGCTATGATTCAGCAGCCAAACGCACAAAGAAGCCCTCGCACACACGACGCCAGGCGCTGCCACACACTCCCGCTCTCGCAGGCAGCTCTGCTCGCTCACCTCACTCTGACTTTTGGCAGTTTGGAGGGCGGAGCCCAACAACTTTGATTGACAGGTTCAGTTTTACACTCGTATTAAACTCAGCTTCATGGCATCGGCACAGCTGCCGTTTTGGATCGTACGTGTTTACAATGAAGTTTGCAGAATGAAGCATCGGCAGGTTTTTGCAGGTAGCAGCAAACAACCATCACAAGATTACTTCTGTTCTTAGAAGATTAAAAAAAGGACACTTTCTGGCCTCAAAGTTCAAACAGTTTTATGGATTTTGGCCTCCACGAGCGTTTAAATGTGTTCGACTCTGGTTTTTTAACTATTTCCCACAATCCAAGACGAGATGCAGAGACTCCCGCTGTGCTTTAAAGCCTGTGAATCGTAGGGCGGCCCTGACTAATGCTCTCATTTTACACCTCCAAATTCTCCACACTTAATTAGACAAGCAGAGAACAGGCATTTGAAAAGATTCAAAGGAAGGTGTAAAGCTGGGGTGATCTTCCCTTTCTTTATGGGTGCAATACAGGATTATGGTGAAAAGCCACACATGCTCAGCACCAAAATGAGTGATTTATTAGTGATTAGTTGCAGTGAGTCATCAGCAGCTTTTTATGTGCCAGGTAAAATAAAAATACCGCTGCCTGCTGAGTCCCATCAGCTGATCATAATTAGCTTTTATTGATCCTCACTGACGTCCTGATCCAGCCGTGCTTTGAACTACCTGCAGTTCTCAGTGCGTCTCTGTTTCTCTCTGTCATAGACACCTGGCAGCTGATTGGCTGTTGTTCATACCTCATGTGGATTTCATTTCTTTCTCTCCTTCTCTGCAGTTTCAGCTCCAGAACTTTGATATCGTCTGCAGCACCTCGTGGGCCAACAGAGACAAGTGCTGTGAACTTCCCAGTCTGGTGAGGTCAAAGTCTGAAGCAGTCTCGATGTTTGCTTGTTTAAAGCAGGAGGAGATGACCTGGAAGCTCTTAAGTGCTCATTTACACACAGTTTATTAGCACTGCCTGCACCAAGGTGACAGTTTCAATCTATTTGAGACTGAGAGAGAGATTTTTCCATTACAGTAATTTTCTTGATAGCATTCGGGGTTAGAATGAGTCATGTTTTCTTCCATTTTTCACTGTAAAACCATTGAAAGCAGTCGTCTAGACTTAAACTGCCTGCCTGGTTTTATTTGGATCTTTTCATGACGCCAAACCAACATCAGAGTGTGTCGGGAAGCAGGTGCTCTCAGGCGTCTGTGGCTAACGTGTTCTGCACAGTCGTGCAGGCTGAGGTCTTTACTGCTGGGGCCGAAGGTTTCCAAGCAGAACGTAGTGAAGTAGCAGCATGACAGTCACTGACTGCTGTGTGCCACAGTGACTGTAGTCTGAAAATATCTGAAATTCAAATCTGAGACGGAGAGCTTTGTCATATTTCCACCTTGTTTGGTTTGTTTTTTTTAATCACAATTCATGCCATTACATTTTCTTTATTTTCTATTCTGTTATTATATTTATTTATTTGCTTTTGTTTTTTCTTTGTGTCATCCTCATCATGCTGTGGTCATCCAGAGGAAGGAGGTAGACTGCCCGGCCTTGCCTAAAGCCTGCACCTGCACCCAGGACAGCAAAGGCCCCCCAGGCCCTGCTGGACCACCAGTGAGACACACACACACACACACACACACACACACTTTGGTTACTGGGCAAGTCTCACCTCTGCTGCATTGCATTTCATCGTCTGCTTACTTGAATGAAACATGGACAACGACCAAACGTGATCGCACATCTGCATCACAACAATGACACAAACATCATTTTTCCTGCACTTTGTCACCTCACTTTTTACTCACATTACATGTTTCTTTGATATGGTGAAGAACAATCACCAAACGAGTAACTTTTTGTACCACTGCCAAAAGCACCATGACTCTAATATACCACCTGGTATTTAAAGAGTATGCAATTTCATTTCTCACCAGCAGAGAGCGACAGTGAGACTTTTTTGCCGACCTGTCATTATCCATATACTAAACACACACAAAATATGGAGGGCCAGGAGTGACAAAATGAATGCATTAAAAATGCCATTAAACAATGAAATATAAAAGTCAATAATTAAATAAAAATTTAAATAAATAAATAATGTATTACATGTTTTAAATTAAATGACTGGACATTTAATTAATTATTGAAATATTTATTTAATAAATGAATTCCAATTTTAATTATTTAATGAAACATTTAATTCATTCAGTTTGTCACTCCTGGCCCTCCATAAAAACCATTCATTCATGCAGTCACAAAAGTCTCGTCTGATCTGAGGTCATATTCAAATGGTCTTGCACCCCCTCCACCTTGTGGAGGGTGGGGCAGAGCATTTGTGGCTCCCGGGAGAGGCTCACGTGCGCCGTGGTGTTTTTTTTCCCCGGACGCGGCGAGTGGCGGCGAGCTCCGGAGAGGCCGGCAGCCCTCTCGAGCCATGGCAACCCACCGAGTCACCCGCTGGAGCGATCCTCATCTGGTGAAATACCACTACTCTTATCGTTTTTTCACTTCCCCGGTGAGTCGGGGAGGCGAGCCCCGAGCGGGCTCTTGCTTCTGGTGTCAAGCGCCCAGAAGTCCAATAACAGGACAAAACACCAACATCCTGTTTTATGTTCCGTTTACATTTCTTTAGTGGAATTCCTTTTTTTTAAACTTTCACTTCCTGGCAGATTAAACCTTTTTTTTTCTTGCACCATGACTCATCTGTCAGCTTTGTGGGTTATAAAGTCATCTGTCCTCACCTTCAAACCTCAGCAGCAAACCTGGTAATCGTGTGTTTCTAAGCACCTCCTGCTGTTTGTGTATCTAACAGGGAGGCCCAGGAATCAGAGGAGCCAGAGGAGAACGTGGAGAGCCAGGCCCTGTGGTGAGTTGTTGGTTTAGCCTATCAGAAACCACGGCTGTGTCCGATGGGCCCGCCTTCAGCACGCTGCTGAATAATATCAACAGATGTTATCAAGAAATCGCATTTGTTTTTATTCAGTTTCTCAAAGTAAACACACATCCATCATGCTCGTGTTCATCCTCGTCCTAAAGAGACAGAGCCGATTTAACTCACCCACATCCCAACTATTCACACTCAGAAACACGCAGAATCATTTCTGATCAGTTTAATAACTTCAGCAATAGTTTATAGATTGAAAAGAATTAGGATGCAGAAAGCTGTATACATAAATTTACAAAAACACTTTTATAGATATTTTTTCAAAAGTTATTATTATTATTATTAAATCCCTAATTTAAACAGAGTTCAATCAAATCATTTTTTCCAGAAAGAGCTGTCTGCAGAAACAATAAATAAATACAATAGTAATGATGATAATAATATGAAAGAAACGCACAGATAAATAAACATCAGGGAGGTCAATCAGTCGATTAAATTGGAAAATAAAAATAGCTTCTTTCCATATTTGCAGTAATTGTCGGGTTTACACACACACGCGAGTTCTTGATGTGACCGCTCTCATGAGCTCCTCCCGTCACGGCGGAGCAATCGCCGAGCCACACAGCAGGCCATCTTTAGGCGTTTCGCCCTCCAGTATTCTCTATGTGTAGAAAAATATGAAAGCTTCTAAGTGTCGACTCAGGTTTTATGCAGTTAAGACAACAAATGTATTAGTGAGTTAGTTTCAGAGCATAATTAATATAGTCATGCAACTCCTCCCTCTGCGCTCTGCTGCACAGCCTACATGTTAAAGGTCATTTCCTGGTTGGGCTCTTGCTGTTTTGAGCCACGCTTGATGGCGTGCTCACTGTTGCTGTGCCTGATTGTGGTTTAGATACGACGATTCAGTTTCCTCGAACAGACTCAGAGCTCCGGGCACGCCCACCTCTGCACAGTTCGAGTGTTTCATGCCTCGTGTTCCACTATCACAGCGCTGCTTTGTGACCTGCTCTGATGCTTTGTCAGATTCATCTCTTGCAGTGATGTCTTGCAGACTTTTAGCTTTTCTTTCAAAAGCAAAGGTGTTCAGTTTTCTGTCATTACAAAGTCAGAGGCATCATCGTTCGTGTTTATAGACACCTACATATCTGAGTTTTCTTCCGTTGCTTAAGAACCAGCTGCTGCTTGTACTAAGCTCACTTCCTTTCTGGCTCAACATGATTTTATCTGGGTGACTGCAGAGACGTCAGAGGACAGTTTTCTGCACTTTTTTTCATATTGCAGATTTAAACTTCTTGATTAGTTTTTATTCTCACGTTTTAAAGTCACGCTGCTTCAGACAAACGCACTCACCTGTTTTTCGATGCTGTTCACAACGGTCAGATTTCCTCCCTTCTTCTCACAGTCTTCTTGGCTCTTCTGCAAAGCGGACACTATGATGTATTCATAGTAACAGCTGCAGCCGACCTTCACCCATCCTGGAGGACAGCCGTTCCCTGAAAACATACCGACACCCTCTTACTCCAAACTCCTGTCACGTGTCTTTGCTCAGTTAAAATGGCTTTAAATGAACATTCTGAGTTCTGTGTGTTCCACATTTTAGGGAAAGTGTAAAACCTTTCTCAGTCGCGTTTGAGGTGTTGTTCACTTCAGTGATGTTTGTGAAAGAGCCTTAAAAAAGGAAATAAAATGTGAAACACAGTAACTGCTTCAAACTGCAGATAAACACGGTTGTTTCAGTTACTGAGGGGAAAAAAAGCTTTGTAACCTCTCTCAGTTGCGTTTCGTTCGGGTCGATCATCTGGAAATCCAAAATCAGGCCAACCATCAGTTATGTTTGGATTCTCGAAGTTTGGACACGGAGAACCAAAGAAAACTTGTTATGAAATAATTGTTCTTCAGCCTGTGAACTTTGCTGTCACTGGCTGTGAGATTGATTTTCCTCTCTTACCTGAGCATTGGCTCTTCAACTTGGTCATTTCCTCATTTAGTTCATCCAATTTTATTTTGAGCTCGTCTCTCTGCACGGTCACTGAGATATCTGCAGAGGAACGTGCTCATGTGAAACTTTAACAAACGTTTGTGTGTTTATTTTTTAAATTAACAGTTTAAAGTCATTAAAAAGTTCAGCACTTCTCTGGGAACGATGAGAGCATTGCTGTAATGTTCTCATCGTTCCCAGAACAGTTTGCTGGATGCTGAACACTGATCATAAACAGCGCAGCACGTGTCGGCCCTCACAGCGGAGTCCTGTCGAAGTCAGCGTGAGCAGAAGAAACGTTCCCAGAACTGCAGCGATGACTCGAACGTCTCTTCTCTTCGCTGAATGTTTCTTTCGAGCACGCCGACCTGTAGAGATGAAAAGCGCAGTAACTATACTTCGTTCAGCACGCGGACTTTTAAATGAACTGCTCTTCTCAGTACGAGGACAGATGTTTGCTGTATGACACATTTATTTATTTCATGTTTAAAATAAGACATCATCCATGTTTTATTTGCGTTTACTGCCAGGCCATGAGTGTACTTATTCATGCTTACTGGTTTTCTGTGACCCAGTCCTGGTGGCGTGGGCTTCAAGCTCTCCGATCTCCGCTTTGTTTTTCTCTCCACCGTCCGCTCGGACTCCTCTGCTGTATCTCACATGTTGGTTTCCTGTGGACATCTTGGGCGAAGTAAAAGTCTCGTCCGTCTGCTTCTGTCTTTGTCACGCAGCTGTTTTTAGAGACGAGCATGAAGGAAGTAACAGCTACCCACAAACACAACCGCACACACAAACACTCTAATAAATGCTGTTACAGCCACTCTCTCTCTCTCTCTCTGTGAGTTAAAGTGTAGGATCTAAGAAATCATTGACGTATCACTTCCGATCCTCTGACCTCAGGCAGGTGTCACTGAGACACTAATGACAGAGAGGTTGTGTTTGTCACAGAAACATGCAGCTGTGAGTCATGAAACTCTTTTTGACTTTGTTAAAATGGTTACTTTTGGTATTTTGGTGAATAAAAATGAGTGAAGGTCTGTTCACCAGAGTTCACCAGAGTCTTAAAGCACATCTCTGTTGAACGTCTATCAGATAAAGATCCAGATTTTCCCCCGCTCACTGTGAAAACACGGAGCACCACACCGCGCTTGCATTTCAGTCGTATGTAAAAATCTTTTGTTATGAAAATTCTGTGCGAGCAGCTTTTCAGTCGTGCAGAACGTCTTTCAGGAGAGAGAAGTTATAAAATACTGTTTCATTTATGAAAAGTATTGTTTTTTCATAAATGAAACAATGTTTCAAAAATATTGAAACATTGTTTCTCTTAGCTCGCTCCTATCGTTACTCTTCCCTCCAGATACGAGAGAGCACTCTGTCTCTTTAATTATGTAAAATGTAGACGTAGATTGATGTCATTTGGTGCACAAAGAGGTGTTTATGAGGGTTAAGGAGTTAGTTATTTGGTGGTTACATGTTTTGATATTTACATGTTTACATATCTGAATGTTTACACATTTACATTCAAACAGTTATAAGTATGTGCTGATTCCACCTGGTTGGTTTTCCTGCATTTATCCGAGTGCAAGATTTCCTGGCTTCTGAGTTGCCAGTGAAGTATCACGATGGCTGCACACAGGAAGTGCTCTTTTTTATGTTGAGCTGTGCAGCGAGTAAAGATGCTGCTATGGAAATTGGTAGAGCGGGAGGTTTTGTGTTTGCTATGTGTTGGTGTTAGTCTGTAATATAAGGCAGTAAACAGGAACAGGAGTCTGGGCTTCATTAAAGGAGCTGTAATTGCACAATGTAACTAAAGGTTCCAACACTAGGTGGCAGTGTTTTATCAGAAGATATCAGTGTCGTTGTGCCAGCAGTGAGAAACGGTCTGCCCTGTGAGTGTGGTGCTTAGTGCTGACGGATTTGTGTTCAGGCTTCCTGTCTGAGGCCTTTCTGTGTCGTTTGTCGTTCCACAGGCCAAACACACACTCGCTAAGCTGTGATCCTAAACGGGCCCTAGGTGAGCCTGCCTGTGTTGGTCCTGAGCCTGTGTGGGGGGCACCCTGCCTCACCCCGTAACAGCTGTAGTCAGCAGATTACATCATCTGTTGATGTTTGTGGTCTTTCTAACCCACTGTAATCCACAGAGGTGGAAAGCAGCTCCCCACACCTCTCCACTGTGTTTATTCCACTCTCTGAAGTCATAGTGAGTGGACACTGCTTCACTGATCAAGTCTACATTATGTTGCCTGCTCAGCGGTCCCCAACCCCCGGGCCACAGACTGGTACCAGTCCGTGAGTCGTTTGGTACTGGGCTACGCTGAGGCTTCGATGTGAAATTCATGGTTTTCGGGGGTTATATCAATTTTTAGCTTTTTATTTTAAATCATTTTTATCATTAACTTGGTTTCCCCGGGTCTCTTCCTGTGTGTTATGATTAAATCTTATTGTTTTGGCACCAGTACTGGTTTTATTTTGTTGTATTTATCCGTGACACCTTATAGTCCGCTCCGTGAAAATATTGTCAGACATAAACTGATCCGTGGTGCAAAAAAGGTTGGGGGCCGCTGACTTAGAAGACATGATTTACTGAGATACGATGGAGATTAGACTCCGATGACCTCGACATGGCAGGACAGCTTCTCAGCGGTGGGAGGATTTAGGAAAGGACCTCCCTGTGTGAGGTGGAGATGGGAGGAGGCGGGGTGCATGAAAGAGAGTCCGAGAGGGAAAATAATGGAGAGCACAGATTTACACCACGCGAAGCAGAGTTTGATCGGCTCCAAGAAAGATGATTGGACTAGAGTAATGATGTCATTACTGAGGTTGACAGCGTGATGGGAAATCTAAAAACTATTTTAATTTACAGTTCGTGCCTTCAGAGCCCAACTATTAAGACAGTGTAATGTGTATGTGCTAGCATGTAACCTGAACCACCACATGCCGCAGTGTGCACAGCATAAACTCATTTTCACTGCCAGTGACTAAAATACATAAAGCTCAGCACTGCAAAGTTAGGGGACAGTGCAAAACACACTCAACAGTTAACATGTACAGTAATAGTTAATGAACTAAAATGCAACAAAAAGACAGAGCAATGCAAATCACAATAAAAGAATAGAAACTGACATAAACTGACAATGTTGACTGAAAACTGACCACCAGAGGAGACGCGTGTTTTTTCTGGTTGATTAGACTTTCACACATTGTTTTGTGTATTTCAATCCTTTTTAAGTAGAGAAGAAAAAATGCCACTGCATCCAGATTCAGAGGAAATATGGAATGAGCTCAAGTTCTTATTTGAACAGTTACAGTGTCGGTCCTCTCGCCTCTGAACGCTACCATCGCGTATTTTAAATCTAACAAATCAGGTGTGATTGAAGTTCAGACTTTCAGCTTTAATTCAAGGAGTTTAATAAATGTATGAAACAGTTTAGGACTCACTGACATTTTATACATAATCCCTGATTATTAAAGTTCTGTGGTTTTCAGTCTGGGATTTCACAACAACAGACTTTTGTTGACTTTTCAGTAAAACATAAAGGTCAGAACACCATTATGTCAGTTTTACCTTCACACAGCTGTACTGGGACTTCAGTTTCTCTATTAAAATCCTTGGTAAGGTTTAAATCTGATACAGTGCAGTTACATGTTACACATGTCAGACTGAGAGGTGACCAGCAAACTCTCAGTAGATGTCCCTCTCACAGATCCAGTGTTTTGATCCAGTGTTGGTGTAGTTCCATGTTCCTTGTAGATCCATAAATACTTTGAAGTCATCCTCAGGATTTAATTTTGCAACTGGATTCCAGCCTCTGATGAACAAGTACAAAGTTGTTACAGGTAAAACCCTGAAAACACCACAGAGTATTTTGCAGAGAGCTCTTAGCAGTGCTTAGAAACACACATCAACATATTCTCCTGCTGAACTATTTAACTTCCATTTGTCTTCCCAGTATTCCCATTATTACCAGTTATGCAGTTTTCACACATGAACTGCAGCTCTGAACTTTTCTATGCAAAATAATGCAGGACGCATGAGAACCATATACTGTAAATAAAAGATGGACGTTGCCACTGTGACATCACCCGTTAGTTACAAAGCCGTGTTTTTAAAGCCTCCTGAGGATCTGACCTTTAAATCCAGGAACATCACATACTCATCAGTCACCTTGGTAACCACACAGTCCCCTCCCACTAAAGCGTACCTGCTTTATCACCTGCTTTGAACATTAACAGGAGAATAAATGATTAAATGAAGATCACCATCCAGTAAATCTTAAACTGAGACCATGGACTCATAGAAAAGTGTTCATGAGGACTTGGATCACTGCAGCTGAAGGACATTTTCCCACAGACGTCAACACAAGCTGACCTGTGTATGCAACCACAGGAGACGCCCCCTGCTGGCTGTTAGAAATAATGCAGATTTAAGGGATTTCTACATTATCTTGGTGAGAACATAAATGTTCAGTGTAGTCAGATCAGACCTGAAATGATCTTTAACAAACAGTAACTGTGTGGTGTGAGCGAGTGGGTGTCATGTATCCTGCCTCCTGCACACTCTCTACAGACAGCAGCTCCTCCATCAAGTATCTCCAGCTGGGACAAACTCTCTCCTGTTCTGTGCTACATGGAAAAAGCGTCCCGTCCTGATTCTGTGACAGTGTTCAGAGTTCATATGTGAAAACGCCCATAGCTTTTATCCAGGAGATAGATCACAATTTTATAAACTCTAAATTAAATTTCTCACGTATGTGCTAGTGGTGATCCGTCCACCCACTCCCACGTCGTTGACCAGCGCTTTCCCTTTCTCTCCAGACCGATCCAGAATTCTCCACGTTTATTCAGCTCTCTGAAAAATTCCTGACAGTTTGTCAGAAACAGGAATGATTAGTTTTTCGTCTCATTCCAGTTTCTATAGGAGTAGATTCATGTTTCAGGTTTTTTTCATTTTGTTAATTTTTACTAATCCAAAAAATAACCAACATGAAGATCTTACTCATAATTATTGATTTAGAGATTCCATATTTAAACAGAAAACACTGAACAGCAACGAGAGACACAAAAACATATCACATGTACCGCCGCACATATTTAAATCATTCATGGACGACTGAGCTCTGACAACAACATCACGTATATCACACATTTAGTATCTTAAGTTAACAGTTATGACACACTTACATGTTTGCTCCTGGTCTTTATCACCAGCAGATCTGCTCCTCTCCTCTCACAGTCTTTCCTGCTCTCACTCCAGTTTTTCCTCTCAGTAGAAATGTAGTAACAGCTGCACTCAAATCTTTTCCATTCTTTAAGAAATAACTCATCGTCAACATGAGGTCCAGTTTCAAATCATGTAATAACAGTTTAGTAAGAGTCAGTTTGAGATGTTTCTCACCTGTGGTGTTCGCCTGTGTTTGGTTGTTGTTTCCAAACTGGCAGTTCATCCTTTCCAGATCCGACGTCAGCTTCTGATTCTCGGACGTCAGCTTCTGATTCTCGGACGTCAGCTTCTGATTCTCGGACGTGAGCTCCACATCTCATGAAAACCATAAAACGAGACAGTTCAGGATGTAAATGCAAATCAGCTGCTGAAGGCTTTGACCTTTTGTCCATGTTATTTAAATAAATGTGAGTCCTCACAGAATTTGTAGAAGACTGTAAGCCCCGCTACCAACAGGAGACACAGTAGACCCAGTATCAGGGCAGGAACTCTGAACTGGTCTCGTCGGGCTGCTGGGAGGTGATACTGAGTGTGCGCTTCTACAACGTGAAGCAGAAGACACAGTTGGATTAAACACATTTAAGTTCCTCCTTCAGTTTATCTGAACGGATGAGATGAAAACGTTTGATATTAGTGAAAACACCACGACACCTACTGCAGCAAGCAGCCACCAAACACTGTCTAACATGAGGGGAGATGCTAACAGGTGTTAGCTAGCTGCTTTTGGTTCATTACTACCTGAGCGAGGAGAAGAGAAGGCTAACCTCATCTAACAAGCTGCTGTTACTCTACCACGAATGTCTCGGAGCAACAAGGACGTCACGGCTCCAAGCAAGCTAGCATGTTACAAATCTTCTCTCCTGATCGAATAAATAAACCAACAACATCTATTAAAATTTCCTGAAATTATTTCAGGCATTTTACTGATACTTTTCAGTGTCACTGCCATATCTCTGCTTTCAGGCAGCTTTGCAAACTGGTTGGTTTTAAAAGAAAATGCTAGTGTTTCATATAAAGTATGATCAGCCCACAGTTAATACTGCACTTTTATATCTAGCATGGACGTCTTGATTCTTGTGATTCTTACCTCCGTGTCGTGTTGAACGAGCCTTCTGGTCTGCGTAGACGTCCGAAGTCTCGTAGATGTCGACTTCTCTCTCCAGTCTCTCCTCTCTGTCGTCTCGGTTTCCATATTTAAATTTAATGGTCAAATCTGGATCCTCGTAAATGTGGGAAGACATTTCAAGGTGTGCGGCTTCCAGCAGACTCAGTTTTCAGTGCAGCAGAGCTGTCAGTTATGTGTCTCTGATGCTGCTGTCAGTTTCTCCGTCGTTCTGTGTCGAGCTGAAAAGGTTTGAACAGGATGTCGAGAGAAAGCTCTGGCAGGAAACCATAAACACAGATATTTGATTTTTAATGATTTGGAATTATAAAAGTGTTGTTTTTGTTCATGTTTGCTTCTAAATGTATGAAACAGCAACAGCTAAAACAAAACAAACTAGAGAAAGAGATGCTGGCGTGCAGTAAAAAGGCCAATGTGTTCGAGTCTGTACGTGCTGTTTCTCCACTGACAGATGTGATGATATGAATGTGCCTCACTCATGTCCTCATTTGACACCATGAGATAAAAGATAAAAAATGGAGCTGAAGAAGTTTCATAGACCAATAAGAAACAGTTTGAAGGTCATGTGGCACATATGGAGGAAATGGCTGAATGACGTGGACGATCCAGCCGGACGTACTTACACTGTAACTCTGCATTTCACTAAAATCTAAAGACACGGAGTACTACACAGGAACAATTAAAAATAGGTTGTGATAATTGAGGAAATGATAATAAATGTATTATTATTATTCAGGGAGTCCTTTTAATAATTGGAATGATTGAATATTAATAATATTAATTCACCAATGTCATCAGTTTTGTACCAGGCACGCACATCTAATCTTTTTAGTAACCTCATTATGACAGACCATAGTCATGCTCATCAACAAACATTTGGAAACAACAAAACATTAGGCTCCGCCCTCTGCAGGGCCAGTGTCCAGGTTTTCTTAGTTTTTCGGTTGAGTTTTGATCTGTAGAAATATTCTGTAGCTGTAACATTTCCCATGTTAGAAAAGCCAGTTACAAAGTAAAAGCATTTTTAAGATAAGAGATAAGATAGAACTTTATTAATCCCTCGGGTGGGTTCCTCTGGGAAATTCGACTTCCAAAAAAAGCACAGCAACGACCGAAGTTACAGTTACAGAATTGTTATATATATATATATACACACACACACACACACACACACACACACACACACACACACACACACACACACATATAAATACAGAGACAAATATAAATAAAATATACAAAGGGGATAAATAGAATAAATAGGAATAAAAAATAAAAATACAAGTGAATTGCACATTTCAAGTATTGAGTCTATTGCACTGTTGACTATTTACAAAAAGTATTGCACAAGGTATTGTACAGTGAGGTGCAGAGGCACTACAGCTTAGTTGTTCCCCCCTCCTTTGTCCTCCTGTCTCCCCTCCCTCTCCCCTCCAGAGAGGAGTTAAACAGTCTGATGGCGTGTGGGACAAAGGAGTTTTTAAGTCTGTTAGTTCTTGTCTTGGGGAGAAGCAACCTGTCACTGAACAGACTCTTCTGGTTGTTTATGGCCGTGTGCAGAGGATGCCCAGCATTGTCCATAATGTCCAGCAGTTTCTTTAATGTCCTTTTCTCTGCCACTGTCACCAGAGTGTCCAGCTTCATGCCGACCACAGAGCTAGCCCTCCTGATCAGTTTCTCCAGCCTGCATGAGTCCTTCTTTGCTGTGCTGCTCCCCCAGCACACCACAGCATAGAAAAGGACTCCAGCAACCACTGACTGGTAAAACATCCTCAGGAGCTTCCTGCAGATGTTAAAAGACCTCAGCCTCCTGAGGAAGTACAGTCGGCTTTGGGCTTTTTTATACAGGTGCTCTGTGTTGTTTATTATTTGCTTCAGAGCTGAGCAAACATTAATGCTGCAAACAACAAAGTTCACTAATCAGCCCTAAATTTTACAGAAAACACAAATCTAAGAAATATTTAACAAGATTATTAAACCAAAGGGAAAAAACAGACTGTTCACAAACGAGGCGTCTCTGACCTTTGATCAGTAACTTTTAATGTTCGTCTGCTTGCACAGATCACGTTCTGATCATAATGAGGGAAATACACCAAACTACGCTTCATCTTTAATAAGGAGTCTTTAAATAACCTCGGACTGGATTAATGTCTAGTTTGAACTTTCACATGTTTGTAGTGACTTTGTGACTGAAACGTATCACGTAGCTGATCATAAACCCACTTCCTCCTCTATGAACTCACAAACTGATTTCCTCCCGAGTATTTGAAGCCGTCTTCTCAGACAGCAGGACTCGTTGGTGGTGGAGTTAGACGTGTTATTATTTCAGTTAAAGCACTAAAACTGATTCAGCTCACTGCTTCCACTGTTTGTGACTCTACCAGCCTGAGCTCATTTCCCACACAGATATTATAACTAGATCGGTTATGTGGTGTGTTTTGAGGTTTAGGTAACACAGAATAGTATCGTATTAAAACGTAATAATGCACAAAATATAGTGAACTTAATCAAATCACTATAAAGGCAGAATTAAGTAATTAAATAATGAAATGATGCAAAGCCTTTTTATCCAGCCTGATAAATACAACGCTCCCTGTTTAATCAAAGTCTGCTTTCCAGGTTTGTGTAAAATCCAGCAGTCATTGTAGCTGAGGGGGTGAATGTTACTGTACACTGATGCATGCACGTATTTGAAAATGATTAGAGCTGCTGTGTGTGGCGTGTCTCACCTTCTTGGATCTTGGATTGGCTCCGGCCACCCTGTGGTTGGTCAGTTGGTTCATGGGTCACCTGATAACCAGTAAATCTCTGGGAAAGTGTCCCACATGACCAGTTAAAGCCACCATCCCCACCTCAGAATATCCAAACCTGCACGTTTGCCTACATCACATCCGTGTTTTTAGCACATTAGCTTCAACTTTCTCTGTCCTGCTCTCTTTAGGGACCAACTGGTCCTGTTGGAGATACGGGTCTTCCAGGACCTCAGGGACCCCCAGGACGGCAAGGACCCAGTGGACGCTCCATTATTGGACCCCCGGTGGGTTATACAGTTTTCAACAACCTTTTAGTCTTTTTTGTTACTTTTTTCCTTAATCTTTGATTTAAAGTGTGTTGTTGTGCCTGCAGGGCAGTCCTGGAGAGAGAGGTCAGAAAGGTGATGTGGGACAGCAAGGAACTCAGGTAATAATAGTGATCAGCTTTTATATACTGACAGATCACAGCTCTCATTGCACTCTGAGTACGATACCAACACTCAGCTTCTCATTTCTTTACATGAAGTGATGCTTAAACACATTACTGTGCTTTCATAATTGAATATAAATTATTTAGAGAGATAATAAAGATCAAATTTAGACTGTGAGGTGGAATTACCTGTTACTTAGGAAAGAAGGAGACTTCCACATCACTTCTAAAATCCTTCACTCTCTGCGAGTGTTTAACCTCCTTTCATCCCGATGTCTGTCATGTTGTGTCGACCTCGAATAAAACGCAGGTACAGGACTTCATATCCTCAGACTAAGGCTACGTTCACACTGCAGGCGAAAGCGCATCAAATCCGACTATTTTGACCCCATGTGACCCACATCCCATCATGGTGTGACAGTGTGAACGGCACAAATCTGACCTGGGTCACTTTCATATGTGGTCCTGAATCTGATACGTATCTGATGTTTCAGAAAGCGACTGCTGTTTAATGGTCACGTCGCATTAAATACGTCTTTTACGTCACTGACACAAGACAGACGCCAATTATCAGCGCCGGAGAAGACATCGCGAACGCTTCCTGGCCATCCAGCGTAGATGTCAGTGAAACTGCTGGGAAGACAACGTTGGAGAAACGTGAACATTTTATCTGTATAATCTGCAGATTCTGACAGAAATCTGCAGCTATCCTTTGAAGCAGCAATAAGGATCATTATTAGGCCAAATGTAAATAACAAACAAAATTGGGAAAGATAAAGTCTGAAACAAGTCTTTACATTAATCAGTCACACAATACTGTTGGTCTGGGTCTGAACAGAGCGCGTTGTGTGTCTTCTTTTGCACATGCGGCCGCGTTGAGGGTTCACACAGGAGTGCGTTTGCTGTCGCATTTTATTTGTAGTGTGAACAAGCAGACAAAAAGATTGGATTTGATCATTAAGACCTGCAGTGTGAATGCAGCCTAAAAGTGTCCCTAAGAGTAAAAGTCGTGTCATGGGAGCACCTGTGAGTACTCTTCTCTTAGGAGGTATTTAGGAATCGTGCATCCAGAGCTGCATCACAGGCCCACTCACATATAATGAGTTACAGACACTGATCTTGATGCATGTTGAGGTTTAGGGCTGGTGTGAACGTGACCTGCAGTGACCTCTGCTCTCCTCGTGCTGTTTCAGGGGGTTCCTGGAACACCCGGAGGTCCAGGGAGGGAAGGACCTCCAGGACCCAGAGTGAGTCATAACAGACACACTAATAATTCAGCTGTTTGACAAGTTTGTTGATACTACAAATATTAACAGTCAGTAAACCACTGGGATGTTGTCAAATACTTATATGAACAATATAACCTGTAATGTAGATATTTTATCATCTTCACCTCTGATACTGTTCATATGAGTACTACTGTAGTAACACTGTTATATCTGTAAACTGTCTCTACTGTCATTGTACTACTTTTGTTTTTTTCTAGATTATATTAAGTTATATAATACCTGAATAGAATGAGATTATGTACAATTCTATAAACTGATCTGCAAATTTAAGACAAATTACATATCAGATGTTGAATTTGAGGCATTGGATTGATTTTAAATATGTGCTAATTTGGGGCAGGAGCAACAATGAAGTACAAAAGAGGTGCGATGCTTTAGAAAATGACATGTTAATGCACGGCATGGCTCCACGGAAGGACGAGTGGAAAAGAAAACAGAAGAAAGATAAAAGTTTCCTAAAAAGTCCAGAGGTTGAAAAAGGGAGACAGTCGAGCTGCTGTCAAATGAACAAAAAGACCCTTACAGAGCGAAGCAGCATCTGTGGCCCTGGAGCGCCCCCCTCTGGCCACAGTAGAGTCAGCATCACAGCCAAGGCTGGAAAGAGCGAGACACAGCTGCTGGGTCAAAGTCATCGGAGGAACTCTTTAATCCTTTTTTATTATAACATCTACTTTCACCTTCTCAGGGACTGCCAGGCAAAGATGGCCCCCCAGGCACACAGGGCCCCCCAGGAACCATCGTAAGTCACTGTTGCTGTTTTTGTGAATGTTTTGGAGGATTCAGAGGAGGATATATGTGCATGCAATGCCTGCAGCTTCTCTGTTAGGCACTTAAATGTAAAGTTTAATTAAAACTGTGACTTTAGGTGATAATGATGGAACTGGGTCAAGCTGGGCAGGGCTAATAAGCTCAGTCAGGCGTGTACAACAGGAACAACTTTATAATAATTCAAATAATATAATTAAAAATTGCTTTTGATTTCTTCAGGGAACTCCGGGAGCTCCAGGATCCCCAGGAAGTACAGGCCCTCCAGGAAAGCAGGGAGAGCTGGGCCCACCGGTGAGTCTGTCAATGAGTGGAGCTGCCTGTCCCCATTAACCAAACTGGCCGGGGTGGGCGGGGTTTTTAGCTCTTAGAAGGAACGCCATCATTTGTTTTATGAGCATGAGCTGCTGCATGTGAACAGAGACGCAGGAGGCAGCAGAGTGCAGCGAGGTGAGCGTCTGTCAAAGAGGTTAACAGCTTCCTGTCCAGTCTGAAGCTCTAGAAGCTGTTTGACACATTCACTGATATGTGGAGCTCAGTGTTTTGTGTTTATGTCAACAGAAAAGTGCTGTTTGAGCCTTCACCTCAGCCTTTCAAATGGCCAACACAAATCCTTCTTTCTTTCTCTCAGAGGCTGGCAGTGTCGTTATCCTTCTGGGTAAACGCTTGAGTGAACAGATCCATCACTGGTGCTGACGGCTCCTCTTTCTCTCATTCTGTTTCTACATCAGGACTTGTGTTATGTTGCTGCGATGACTCAGTGGCAGGAGTCACAGTTCACTCAAAGTCATTTTGTTCTCACTTAAACGTGTTTATTTCTGCTGTGAATGTGGAAGCTTTTGGAGCCTGCCTCTAGTGTTCAGAAGAGGAACTGCACTTATGCATAGCCTTAATGTTTCAGCCCCACAGTGTCGTTGTTGCAATGTGTTAAAATATTTTGCCAGCAGTGGAAATAAACTAAAAATTCAAAGAGTTTCAAGCATTTAAATCAGACTAAAGGAGAAACAGGTGGGACAGCAGCTTCATGCAAAACGCAGCAAAGTGTCTCAGTTTGATCTCCAGCTGTTTGCAGAGTCGCTGATCAGTATGCAGGCTGTGCATGTAAACCTTTGTCTGCAGTCCATTTGCTGTGCTGGTTTCTACTTCAGCCACTGTAAACAGAGGTGTGTGAGCGCTCGCTGCTTTCGTATTTATTCCTGATTATGTGAAAACTTCATGGAGAGTAAATCACATTCGAAGTGCAGCAACAAAGAAAACACTGGACTCTGTGGGCGGTGATACAATTTGCTGACAAATGATTATTCATCACTGTGATAAAATCTTTATAAGCATGTAATTACAGATGCATGGGTGGCCTGCAGAAAGGCCTCATCAGCTCTTTACCTCATGCTGGCAGATTCGTAATGAGAATTTAGTAAAATATACAGTAGTTCAAGTTTTGGGTATTAACACTGTTTCCATAAATACTACATTCTGGGTTGTATTTTTTAACACTTTCTCACCTCGATAAACATCATTCAGTGAAAGTTTTGTATTAGAAAGAAGCACCGAGGTCACAGCAGCTCCATCGAAGTTGGTTTATTATGTGTTTGTTCCTCTGTTCTTCCTGGATGTTTGTCTGTTTCGTTATTATTATAAACACGGCGTTAAGTGACAGCGCTGCACAAATATTCATATTCTCTGTTTCGTGTCGACACATTTGAAGCTTTTAACGATGTTTCTTGTAGATTTGCTCCAGACTCTGAGAGGGAACGTTCCCGACAAACGTATCGCCATCACAGTCCTGTAGGCCGTAGGCCTCTCGCTGGTCTCGACACGTTCCTGAAATCTAATCCCCTCGATTTAGGACGTGTCTGTTTCCCTCTGAGACATGTCAACGCTGAAAAGTATAAACATTTGAAATTATGTTTTAGTTATTATTCATATAGATAAAGATTTCCAACATTTTAAATAAATGACAAAAACAAGCAGGCTGCAGTTTAATCAGGACAGCAAGATGATCAACATGCTGCCCTGACGAGAGAATCACCTGCTTCATCTTGTGTTCGATGCTTCACAAGTTTGGAGGTTTTTTTCCTGGTTTTTCATGAATTCGTTTCTCTTGCAGGGACCTGCTGGAACTAAGGGAGAGAAAGGTGAACGGGTAAGCTCTCTGTCTTCATGTTATTACTTCCCCCCAGTCACAAATGTCCTGTCTGCTGACCTGCATATAGAGATATATTGTTGTGTTGCAGCAGCAATGTCAAACTCAAGGACACACAAACAGTATAATAATATATATTAATATATGTTTTATTACTATGCAGTAAACATTAGTCACTGTTTCCTTCGTTGATTACAATAATGAAATATCAACATCATCCAATAAGTAAATATAATATGTGTGTATTTGAGTTTCATAAAATAAATTTACTTTAAATTTGCTGTAACTAAAAATTTGACACTAGCAGCTGAAAAAGAAACGAAACAAATCTGCAGATTTATGAGTGAATTTCAGTCCTAATAATTTGAGTCTGTAGCGCCTTCATAAAACGCAGAATATGAATCATTTAAAAACACTCGCACATAACTACGTGTGTTTTATATGAACGTCGTGTGTTTTTTTTAGGGAGATCTCCAGTCGACAGCATCAGTTCAGGCCATTGCCCGACAGGTCTGTGAGCAGCTGATCCAAAGTGAGTTAAAAAACCCCAAACCTTTATTTGTTAATAATAATAATAATAATAATAATACTAATAATGTTTGACCTGAACTGTTTTCAGGCCACATGGCGCGCTACAACAGCATCCTGAACCACGTGCCGAGTCCTCCGGTGTCAATCCGCACAGTTCCCGGACCACCGGGAGAGCCTGGTCGAGAAGGACCCCCAGGACCACAGGGAGAACAGGGACCCCCAGGCAGACCAGGCTTCCCAGGACAAAATGGACAGAATGGGCAACCAGGAGAAAGAGGCAAGTTTAACAAAACAGTAAAACTCTGTTACTGTTTAAATCAGTGTGAACTGATTTATACTGGGCCACACGGCCCAGTATAAAATAAATACAAAATTATTTTGAACTGTAAACGATGCAAAGCTGCACTGGTTCAGTCTAACAGCAAAAAATAAATAAAAAGTCAGAAATGTGCAGGAAAGGTCGAACTTCCTGACTTTCTCCATGTTACAGTGTATCTGTATGGAATGACACAAAATATAGAAATTTAAGCAGTATTTATTTCTGTTGTATGTTTCCAGGACAACCAGGAGAGAAGGGTGATAAGGGATCTCCAGGTGTGGGTGTACAAGGACCCAGAGGACCTCCAGGACCACCTGGTAACTTACCTGCTAAGCCTTTCTGAACCATCCCAGTGATGCAGTGAAGAAAGTCCTGAACATGATTGTCTGATTAGTAAAAGAAAAAATGTTTCACATGTTTCACATGGATCATTAAGATGTTGTAAAATCCACAACTTCAACAGAAAATATAATTTTTTATCAAATGTCTTAACTGACATGGTAAGATTATTATTTTTATTATTAGTATTAGTACTAGTGTTGTTGTTGTTTTTCTGAACTGAACCAAAAAATGTGAACAAATTGTCTCTAAAATTAAATAGTTGATATAATTTTTTCTATATTTTTAGTTGTTGAGATGTTATTAAGTTAATTCTGAGTGCCATTTAAAAATGTCTTAAACATTTATTACCGGGAAACGTCTGGAAGTACTTTAACTACTCGACTCTGACCATAAAACCATTAAAATAATCACTTTGATAGCTGCACAGTGTTTTTCTGTCCTCTGACTGACAGAACGCAGGAGAAAACACAAACACATGTTGTGATAACTTCGGGCTCACAGTCGGGGTTCTTATGACTGATGATGAGTTTGACCACAGAGTGATTCTGTAATTCTAACATTCAGTTTTGTTTTCTAAACTCTTCATCCTCTTCCTCCCAGGTCCCCAGGGACAGGGCAGACCAGGTAGCTCTGGACCCTCAGGACGACCTGGAAATCCCGGAGTACCCGGTCGGCCCGGAGCCCCCGGACCCATCGGCCCCCAGGGGCCTCCGGGTTACTGTGATCAGAACTCCTGTGTGGGCTACAATGTTGGAGGTACGTAGTCTCAGAAATATGAGGAAACTATGATCCACCAGTGTTATCAAGACTCTAATTCTGGTAGTTTTTAATCGTGCTGCTTTCTCTGGAGTTTTTCATCAAAGGAAAATACTGAGCTCTTTGCTCTGGAGCTCTTTGCCCTGGAGCTCTTTGCTCTGGAGCTCTTTGCCCTGGAGCTCTTTGCCCTGGAGCTCTTTGCCCTGGAGCTCTTTGCTCTGGAGCTCTTTGCCCTGGAGCTCTTTGCCCTGGAGCTCTTTGCTCTGGAGCTCTTTGCTCTGGAGCTCTTTGCTCTGGAGCTCTTTGCCCTGGAGCTCTTTGCCCTGGAGCTCTTTGCCCTGGAGCTCTTTGCTCTGGAGCTCTTTGCTCTGGAGCTCTTTGCTCTGGAGCTCTTTGCCCTGGAGCTCTTTGCTCTGGAGCTCTTTGCCTGGAGCTCTCTGGAGCTCTTTGCTCTGGAGCTCTTTGCTCTGGAGCTCTTTGCCCTGGAGCTCTTTGCCCTGGAGCTCTTTGCCCTGGAGCTCTTTGCTCTGGAGCTCTTTGCTCTGGAGCTCTTTGCTCTGGAGCTCTTTGCCCTGGAGCTCTTTGCCCTGGAGCTCTTTGCCCTGGAGCTCTTTGCCCTGGAGCTCTTTGCCCTGGAGCTCTTTGCTCTGGAGCTCTTTGCTCTGGAGCTCCTTGCTCTGGAGCTCTTTGCCCTGGAGCTCTTTGCCCTGGAGCTCTTTGCCCTGGAGCTCTTTGCCCTGGAGCTCCTTGCTCTGGAGCTCTTTGCTCTGGAGCTCCTTGCTCTGGAGCTCTTTGCCCTGGAGCTCTTTGCCCTGGAGCTCTTTGCCCTGGAGCTCTTTGCTCTGGAGCTCTTTGCTCTGGAGCTCTTTGCTCTGGAGCTCTTTGCTCTGGAGCTCTTTGCTCTGGAGCTCTTTGCTCTGGAGCTCTTTGCTCTGGAGCTCTTGTTGTCAACCACATGATTAAAGCAGCAGCCTCCACCGTGACTGTTGTGTAATTACAGCCACAGACTGAAGAGGCTGTAATGAGACAAACCTGCATGTTTGTTCAAATATGTGAACAGAAGAAACTTTTTAACTGAGCATGAAAACATTTCACTGCTGATTGTACTTGGACTGAAGGCATGAGGACAGATGTTCAGTTCTTGTGGTTCATTTTCACACTGAAAAGCTGCCACTGAGTTAAACAGAGTGCATGTCACAGAAGTGGGCATGAAACACTGCGTGTATAAAGGTTCATTTACACTCTGGAACCCTGCTTTCAAAAACTGACAGAAATTTAAAACCTCATGAAGCTGAATTTAAGAAAAAAGTGACGTCCGGCCACAAGGTGGCGCTAAACATGTTCTAAGAACTTTAGACACTTATTTCTTAATTCCACCTTAACAATCAGTCTGTGCCGGTCTGTGAGAGCAGCCTTCATGGTGTAAATGAGCCTTTATACATTTAGTGCTTCACATAAAGTCATCCACCCACACTCAGTGTATCTGAAGGTGAAACACGTTCAGATACACTCACAGCTAAGATGCAGGATTCAGTTTCACAAACACAGAAATTCATCTTCAGTGTGTGATTTTTACATTTTGTACAATTTCAAATATCATGCAGCGCACTGGGCTCAGAAAACAGACTCGATGCAGCGACAGAGACAGAGATGATGTCTTTAACCATTTAGCCTCAAAGTGGTCGTGCTACGGACTTTAAAGGCTCATTTCACCCAAAATAATCAACTCTGAGCAGAATTTGTTGAGACAGTTTGTTTCTGAACATTTGAGTCAAAACAGCTGAGTTTTTAAAGTTTATTTATTCTGCTGCTTCTTATTTTAAATATCATACACAGACTTTTACAGTGGTAGATTTTTCTGTTGATGCTAAAGATGATCAAAATGAGGTTCAGTTTGTTGAACTGAGACTAGATGTTGAGTAAAGATGCTGATTATTTGACTTCAAAGTGAAAAATAAAAGAACAGAATATTTTATTGTGGTTAAAACTCATTTAAACGACAGATCTTTGAACATCAGCTCTGGAAGGAAGTAGAAGGAAAAAGCCTCAAAAACATGTTTTATTCCACACGTGGTCATAAACTCTGCATCTTAACATCTCAGTTGGTGCTAAATCACTCTGTGCAGTGAGTGTGGGTTTAATGTGTTGCTGGAAAGATGCTCCATGCAGGGTTTTCTAATGCATGCATTAGTTATTAAATGTCACCATATAAACATTCAACAAATGACTTTACAAAATCCACATGAAAGTTGCAGGTGATGAAGCAGCACTGCAGGCAGATGTTACCTTGCAGCATCAGTCTGTTCTCCCTCCTGCTGCAGGCAAAGACCCAGGAGGCATTTCTATCTGAGCAGCTTCACAGCTGATCCCTCACATGCATCCTGATCACTGTTAGTTTGCACCAATCACAAGTCAGCAAACATGTTTTTGAGAGGCTAAAGAAAACCCTGCAGGAGTCATCTTCAGCATGTTCTGTGCATGTTGGTGCTACATCACTGATGTGTTTGAGGTTAAAGGTCACACAGTGGCCTAAACAGAGCTGTGCAGCTTGCAGTCTGCAGGGTGGTCATGTGAGTAATGTCTGCATGTTGTAATCACTCTTCTGTCTCTGTGTTTGTGTCTCCACATCTCTGTCTTCACCTTCTTTTATCCCCCATAATAACCCACAACAGAATATTACTGAGACGTTCACAAATAATCAAACAGGGCTGTGCAATTCATTTGTTTTGTCTCGTGCTATAAATCCAATGCACCCTTTTTCCTTCCCAGTGTCCACTTTCACCCCCTCTCTAAAACCTTAAATCCCTGACAGGCAGTGGCAGGTTCAATGTAGCACCATCAGAATTATTGCTATGATCCAAACAACCCCACATGTTAGACCACATGTGACTTCAACCATGATGTGGCTTCAGTTAAGTTTGCATACACTCATGATGGGCGGGAATGTGGTAGTAATTTGGAGCTTTTTAGGATTTCTTTGAACTCTTCTTTTTCCAGGCTGGAATGATTGTAAAGCTTAAATCTTTAATGACTTATGGATCTGGATTAAAAGTATGCAAACACCCAAACTAATATGCGGTTAAATATACCTTCAGGCAAGCTGCACTTCAACCAGATGCTTTTGTTAGCCATCAACAAGCTTCTGGCATATTTCTGACCTGATGATGGACCACTCATCCAGGAAGAATTGGGAGGGATCATTTAAATTTGCTGGTTTCCTGGCAGACATTCCTGATCTGTCAGAGGACTCACAGGACGTTGACCATAATCATAACATTTTGTAAGAGATATATTGCTCCCAGTATTACACAGACATGAATTACTTAGAGAACAACATGCAATTATATATCATCATCTGAGCTGATCATCAGCAGATGTAATCTTAACCACATCAAAGACCATTATTATTATTACTTCCTGTAGTTGTAGATCCCTAAAGTCAAACGTAGATTTGGTGCACATGAATCTAGAGTGGCTCACTGAGGTGCCGTATACAAACAGCACTACTTTATGTGATGCATTTGTTGCTTGTTTTAATTTTTTGTTGTATTTTTTAGGAGCAAGAAAAATATGGAATTATCAGTAGTTTGATAAAGAAATACTGTGAGCATTGACACGGTCGTCCTCTCCTTACCTTTTCTTCTAGATTATGATCGTCCAATTCCTCTTTTTTAATTCCCAGACTCCACTGACTTAATACAAACTCCTGTAACTCGTCCCAAACACTCATCTGCACGACAACTTTGAATATATTTGCACGTTAAGTATCCAGATGCTTATCATTTGAAAGACAATATCTGAAAACATTGTTACTTAAAATATGACAGTTTGAATGATGTCATACTTGGCTGGTAATACTTAGACATTTGTACAAAATGTCTCACAAAACGTAAACATCAAAGCTCAATCTGACTTATTTAAAGCTTTTTATCCTAACGACCCTCAATATTGTCAACACTGACTTTCTAACCCAGACTCACACATCCTGACTGGGTAACCCAAACTTTAAACTCCTCACCTTATTAACTGACTCATAAACCTGACCTGGTAACCTTTGGTAACCCTTGTCTCTGTGTCTCTTGCTCCTTCCTTCTTACCCACCCCTTTGTTCTTGCTAACCCAATCAAAACCCTACAAATTGCTCCAAAACACTGCTTCCTGTGGTGGCGGGGTCGGCCATCTTTGTTTTGGGCTTTTCACTGCCTATCCGCCGGGCTGCTGGTTGGCTCATTGCCTGGTTGGTCGGCATCACAGAAGGCGAGGATGTCACTGACGGCGACGCTGTCCCCGCAGTCCAACTACCACCCAGCGTCTTCCAGAACTATGGCGAGGTCGAGGAAGACGATCCGTACCGCTACTACCAGCCCAACTACCCGGCCCCTCGACCAGTGGCGCCTGATGATCCCGCACTGGCCCTGGGTGACATTGAGCTGAGGTCTCCTGGCGTCTACCGCACCTCTCGGAGTGTGAAGGAGGAGGAAGAGAAAGTCGGGACGAAGAGGCGACTAAAGAGAGGCGCTGCGTGGACTAACTGAGAGGAGTTGATTCTGATTGGGCAGCTCGGAGCTGCTATGGACTAATCAACAAGTGCCTGATGTAAAGGATTTCTTATGGACATTGTAGAGGGACGGGAAGGGATACCAGTCGGGACTATTGTAACATCTATGCTACATTAAGAAAACTTTCAAAACAATTTACATTTTGTTTTTCATTTGTCAACAATATTGTTTGGAAATCGTCGGATCTTAAAGAGGGTTCATGTTTCACAGGTGAACTGTTCTCACAGACTGTATAACAAAGGTTCATGTAGCCACCAATGACGTTCCCCGCTGGTTTCTAACGTTTCGTTTTGAATCCTGTTTGGTTTCCTGATACTGTTTAAAGAAGCAAGGGATCAATGTGAGAAACCAGTGGAAATGGTCAAGGGGTCGTGACCTCTCAGTTCATAGACCCATTAAAGTACAGTAACGTGTCAAACTGGGCAAAAACACAGCCGTCCATTATTTTTAACTGCTTCAATAAGGATCATGGGGAGGAACAGAGTCTCTCCTAGTTAACACACAGTGAGTGGTTTATCACAGGGCTGTCGGGCTGTTTGCTTCAACCAGTGGAATATTTAATTCTATCCACAAGAAGGGAAACCAGTACAACAAGAGACATAACCACTTATAGATACACATGGAAAATGAACACTAGGAACACTGGTGCCCTTCTCATTGTTCAGTCATTAACAGTTGTGCTTTAACATGAACTGACCAAGATGTAAACGATCTAAATGGACCTCAGAATGTAAATGTCTTTGAAGCAGACTTTGAATCTCTGCAGTCATCAGGACACAGCTGCTGGATCCCAGGTTAACTTCAATCTACGACTCTATACTCCATCTACTTTAATGTCTGCATTAAATTCTGTCATTACAAAGTAAACACAGCTTGAAGCAGATTGTTGAACAAAGTAAATAAAACCCTGACAAATATCTAAATGTACCACTGCTTACCTTCAGTCCCTCTGATGATAAATGGTCCCTCAGCTAAATCAAACGCTGCTCCCTCAGTCCTCACAACAGCAGCTGAACTGCTCTGAACTCTGCATCTACACACAGATGATCTAAACTAATGGAGCCTTAAACCACGCCCCACTTTATCATTTTTATTCTTTATTGGACAGTTGATTAAATAAAGTGGGTTTTAAAGAAGACTGAAAACGACTGATTTTGACCCTGAAAGTTTCAACTTTAAGGTCACAGATCGACTATGTCAGTTTCCCCACAGACTTCTGTCAAACGCTGCCACCTTCTGGTCATCAGAGAGAATTTAGGGTTCAAGGCTAATCAGACGTAGAAGCTACATCCTTCTTTTATATACAGTCTGTAACTGTCCCTGTGGTCGTTAATCAGAGACTCGTCTGTCATTTATATTTTTAACCTGGTTGGTTAAGTGCCTCCAAACGGTCCAGCAACAACTTATTTCAAACGGTCTCCGTCATTATTTTTTCTTTAAAACCTGTTAGTCTTACAAGATTTTATTTTACTCTGTTGCTTCTCTGACAGAAAAAATAAAATAAAAATATCCAAAAGGTTTTGATTTAAATTGCAAAGTGTTTGATGACAATGATGTAATCTGTTAGTGTGTTGGTCCTGTCCTGCATCAGTCTGATTATTACCTCCAGTGTCTTTGTTTTAAAGCCTTTTTATGTAAAGTTTTGCATGTTTTTGTTTATTTCAGTTACCATGCAGTGTATCATTTTCTAATCGTAGAGCCATACAAACATTTTATTGTTACATATTCATATTATTTTGTAGTGCAGGTGTTGTCGCAGTATTAAGCTCAAACTGGTCTCTGTGTTTGGGGAGGCTGATGAAAATATAAGTTGTAAAAACTGAGATTCTTTCTGTGTAAATGTATTTTGGTTCAGTTTGTCAACCCACAGTTTTACTCAGAGAAGCAAATTTAACAAAGTTTAGTTGGAAAAAATGTTATTTTTCACAACGCTCTGTTTCTTACTTGGTGTTTTTATTTAGTTATCACTTCATTTCTTGTCTTTATATTCAGACTTTAATCCTTTAGTCTCATTGTCTGAAAAAAATCCCAGTTACGTGGAGGACTATGCTTTTATTCAACCTTGTTTGATGTGAATTTGGCCAGAATTTGAACTTTGAACTTTCCTTCTGAGTTTAGTGTTTTGAAGCCTTCAGGTCTGTGAGGAGAGCAGTTCCCTCTACACCTCCGACCAGAATGTTTAAAAAATAAAATCAAGGAATTAATTTATTTTTCACTGGTGTTGATTTCTGAGAACAATAAAACTGAAGTACAACCATCAGTGCTGCCTGTGTGTGTGCTGGTTGTAAATGTGTTGCTGGACTGAAGTCTGATTAAACTTGAAGTGAGCAGGAAGCCTGTTGGAGCTGCAACAGCAGGAGGCTGACTGGAAACTTTCAGGTGAGTTGAAGTTTAAAATTACACACATTGTTTGTTACACAGCAGACGATATTTAATATATTTAAGGGACAATTTACATTAAATGAAAGAAAAACTTGTGGTGACCAGGAACATATGCAGATGTGATCTGACAAATGTTCATTAAGGACCCATAAATGTCCATAACACCAATTCTGGGACCAATGATCAGCCTGTCCACCCGTCCCCACCTCTGACTGCTCCAACAACAACAAAGCACCAGTCAGTTTGTAGCGCCTCCTACTGGCAGAGGGCCCACAGTCCTGTTAACACAAAGCTCAAGGTGGGATCCTGACGTCACGTTCATTATTGAGGTGAGTCTTGTTTTTCTCTTCATGGAGGTCACACTTGTTCACACTCATCCTTCGTTTATATGTTTATGTTAAATCTACACTGACCTGTACCCCGTGCTGTGACCTACATGGCAGCCTGTGACCAGAGATGTAGCAACACGTTACACAACGATGTTAAAATGCACAAAACATCTTCAGTTTAGAGCTGACACGTTTGGGACGTTGCAGACGATTACAGATTTTGTTCATGTGCATTTTGTCTAAAGAGTGAAACATTTCAAATCTGACACGACATCAAAATATTTATGCAAACAAATCAATCTTGTTGCTGAACTTTGAATTAATCTTTGACAGAGGTCACTGGTGGTGATTAGACTCTTATCTTCCAATATTTATTATATTGGGAAATATAATGAATATTGTAAAAATAATGAAAAAGCATTAAACTAAAATTTAATGGGTAAAAAATCATGAAAATATTTGAAGTTGAAAAACCTGAAAAACACCCAGAACTGTAGTTTTAGGACCAACAGGCTGATGAATAAACCGAGTAAAGCAAAGTAAAGACAAGCTGCACTTTGACTTTTATTAGAACAATTTGCTGGAACTACAGAGTAATGAAGTACTTCAAGGTTTTGTGTGGATGACTTCCAACCTTACTGTACAGCACAGAGCACAGAGGGACAATATATGTAATCAATATATGATGCAGAATGAACAAGTAAAGACTGTAAGCTGAGTCTGAGGCTCATGCAGGACATTTCATAGTGAGGTGTCTTTGGTTGGATTATTCAAACATTTACATCAAAGCACCAAACTCATCTCTCACAGATGAAGGTCTTTGAATTAGGATAATATGACCGTGTCCATTTCCCATAATAGTCACAGCAGGCTCCATAGTGATTATAATGGGGATCTCATGTCCTTCTGCCCAGAACCTGTCAGAGAGATCAAATCTGATATGAAACTGGACTAAACTCATAACTATTGTCACATTCATATAAATATGCGTCTCTTTTGGAATATTTCCAATATTTGCTGTATTTCTTTCCCAGGTTTCTCGCCCACTTTCCCTCCTTTAGACTTTTCTCTGAGAATCATCATGCACACTAAAACAGCTTTCAAGCTTTGATGAATATGAAATCTTCCTGCTGTAAAAATGGAGAATAAAAAGAAGTCAGAGCTGACTTTCTGCTGTTTGAAACTGTTTTGTCAGCTGTTTACAGACATCACTTTGAAATGTGTGTCTATCAGGTCATATTTACTGAAGCTTCTTCCTTCATATGTTCTGAAGTTTTACAAACACCAAAGAAGAAGAGACAGGAATTCTCTGAAACACTTTTTGTTCTGTGAGAAAAGAAACATTACAGCACAAAAACATGAAGACAAATTGAACAAAGTGAAATGTGTCGGTCGCTGCTTTGAACATGTTTCAATCCTGATTCCTTCAAACTGACTTGTTGTAACTGAACGTCATCACAGACTGCAGATGAAGAGAGTTCAAGCACAGCTGTTCATTCAAAGGAGGATTTCTGCTTTTCTTTACATTCAGTTTGTGGGGCTGTTGGAAAATAGCTCAGCTCATGTATTGCTGATCTATCTTCCAAAACATCCATGTTTCACTGCTAAATAATAACTCTGGAATAGAAACAAACTAAAGTCTCACGTTTCTGTCAGCGCTGATCCGTCCACCCATTCCCATTCATATCCTCTTGATGTCTGGTTGGATCTCAGACCAATCCAAGAGAATCCTCTGAAATTACTGACAAATTCCTGTTTGAGAAGAGACACAAATATTGTCTCCAGTCATAATTCAGCACTTCTGTTGTAGTGACATCATCTTGTGAACATGTCTGAAGGAAGAATAACTGTGATGAAACTTTTCTTCCATTGTGCAGAAATCAGAAAGAGCCAAAGAATCAATGAATATCAGCTCCTCCTGTAGCTCAGTCAGTGTTGCAGTGGAATCAGTGTTAACAAATCATTTGATTCAGTTGGATTGAATCAGAAAAATAATCTGGATTATGAGGATTTCTCTCATTTTATAACATTTCTGTGTAAATTAAATGTTTGTCCAAATGTGTAAAAACTTTACGTTTGAATGTGTCTGCAACAAAAAAGGAGAATCCAAGAAATCCATCAGAGTGGAGACAGGAAGCAGGTCACAGACTGACAGCAGGTCAAAAACACAAGTAACAGATGACTGTCAGCTCCATCAAAGATCACACAGACATGAACAAACACACCCACCTGTTCCTCTTTGCTGTTTATCATCACCAGATCAGCTCCTTTATCCTGACAGGCTCTCCTGCTGTCAGACCAAGTTTTGTTCTCAGTGGATTTAAAGTAAAACTTGCTTCCAAATCTCGTCCATCCTTCAGGACACTTCCCTTAAAGTCAAACACATGTTTTAAAGTCAGACTTTGTGTCCTGTTGTATCACATTAATCTTTGGTTCCTGTCATTTTCCCTGTAAATGCTTCATTTAAACTCAGGTTTTCTCTCTTATTCATAATGAACTGAAACTTACATTTATACAGAGAAACTGTTACACAGCATCAAACATGTAGGATTCAAAACAAAGACACAATCAGGTTATCACTGTGTAACACTGATGTTTTCTATCAGTTATTCAAACTTTATTACCTTCTATCTTCTCCTTCAGCTTCTTCACTTCTTCCTGTAACTGACTGTTGAGTCGTTTTGTCTCTATAGAAAAAAACATGTTAAAAAATGTAAATATAAATTTTATCTGACATTAGTATTTTCTTGTTAATTTTAAATACTTTCTTACCTTGATGTTCAGTCTGTAGCTCGTTGTAACTGTGGTTCAGTTTATTGTGTTTGAAGTGAAGTTTGTTGAATTCACTCTTGTTCAAAGCATCTGAAATATTTCAGTGAAATCAAAATAAAATAAAATAAAATAAAATGAGTGAAACATTGAACAGAAATAATCTTCTTCCTCTGCTTTGTCAAATATCAATAAGAGTCAGAAACTTGCAGCCATTGTTCTTTAACATGTCCTGTGGGTGGAGGTGTTAGAACTACAGGAAATCTGATGAGCTAAATACGTATCAACTGTGAACAAAAACCACTGACAAGATTCAGAATAATTGTGCTTCAGTGTGGAGGAAGAAGGTGAAGAGTCAAACAGCATTTCTACACCTGCAGTCAGAGATGTTATCTACATGCTTTGAAAGAATAGATTCTGACTCATGTGACATGTGCCTGTTCTCACTGAAAATATGTCTTTTACATTCAGTCAAAGCTGCTCTGAGGCTTCAACACTTCCTCTTTCTGCTTATTTATAATTAATAAATGTTTCTTCCTGCAGCTTCCAGGAACTTCCTGCTTTCAGACGTCCTTTTGCAGGCGTCTCTGTTCTCACATCATAGATTTGTGATGTTTCTGCTGATCCAGCATTAAGTCTGTCACAGCTCCACCAGGAGCTAAAGGTCAGCTGAAGATCATCAACTGATTTAAAACATAGAATCAAACCACCTTAAAATCCAAACATCAGCAGCTGCTGGGAGTTTTCTCTGTGTTGTTGTTTTTGTTATTGTGGAGTCTTTACCTGATAATATAAAGAACCTCGAGGCAACTGTTGTTGTGATTTGATGTAATAAAAAAAGATTAATTGATATATCCCAGCAGATGAATGGAGCTAACATTAGCTTGTTAGCTACCTGCTTAATACACCAAGTGAACTAACTAGTCGCACAATGACAGACGGCCACTGTCTAACATAGTGTGGCTGCACCTGCATCAGTCTGCAGCAGATGCTGCTGCCTGTCTGCTTTGTTGATGTAATCACAGAATCACCGTGTTGAGTGAAGAGTTTGAAGGAACAACAAGAACATTCACTCCACAACACACACAAGATATGAGCCAGGAATCATGCACACAGACACACACCTGCTAATCAGTGCTAAGTAACAGACTCATGAAATACTAGAAGCTCAGTCAGCAAAACCAACGTGTTGGTCAGGCTGTACCACACAGCAGCTCATATTATTGATCAGAGAATTCCATTTAAAATGCCACCGTGCAGTTTTTATGAAGAGGAAACTATCCTTAGAGACCAAAACTCATTTGGTCCTGAATGGAAACATGTTTTTACTGCAGCAAAGGTGCTCATTTTAACATGGGAGTCTGTGGGGACTGACTCACTTTCAGCATCAGCCTCCAGTGGTCATTAAAGGAACTGCAGTGTTTGCTGCTTCTGTGTTGGCTTCATGTACTTCCTGTATTTGCTGTGGCAGAAGGACACGTTCTGGTTGTGAAGCTGCATGTTTGTTGGCTGCTGGGATTCAGTATCAGTCATACATTCATTTGCAGGAGAAGTTCAGAGGTTGTATCTTATCTTACAGCATATGGACAGGATGATGATCCCAGCTAACATCAGGAGGCACAGCACTCTTAGACCCAGTGTAGCACATCTGAAAGAGCCCTTCAGGACTGAAGGAGGATTCAGAGTCTGTGGTCCTGTTAGAAAGCAGTGTGGATGTTGGTTTGTGCTTATTTCCTGTCAGTCTGTGGTTAACAGACCTGTGGTTGTGGTTGTATCAGCTTAACGTCAAAAAAGGGTCGGTTGCCAAAAAACAAAGGAAATATAACATCTGCGCTGTGACTGAAAGAAGTTCCTGTTAATCAATAAGTGACTTACAAACTATTGTGGGAAAGAATTTAAATTAAAAAGGTTCATACAGCAAATGGAGAAACAGATGTTTGGTGGGCTGCAGTAATTTGGCATTAAAAGCTGACTGTAACAAACTGGAAGTACATTTAGATTCATAATTGACTTACCTCCTTCCTGCGACTGAAAATGATCATAACTATCTCTCATCTCATCTGCACTCTCGTAGATATCCACCTCCCTCTGCTCCCACTCTGCTCCGTCCTGCTTTCTGCTGTATCTCACCTTCTTTGATAGATCTGGTTTGGCATAAATATCTGAGGACATCGTGAGAGGACGGAGACGCTGAGCAGGAGTTTAAGCTGTACTCAGAGCCTGCAGTACTGACCCTGGTAGATATCGAGCTGTTTTATTCTTGTCCAGCCTTCTGTCTGCTTTCAGGCAGGAAGAAGCTTTGAGGAAGTGGCAGCGTCTAAGGAAACACAGACCGTGTGATTAATTTGCATAAAAATGTCTTAACTGCATTTTGTGTTTCTCTTAACTACAGATAAAACTCTGTGTTGTACAATATGTGTACTTTGTTGAGCTTTTGACTGAGTTTGCATAAAGCAGAAAATGTATAAACTCTTCTTTTTCTAAAGACGTTGAACGTTCACACATAAAAGCACAAACACAGTCACACCTCAGTGTCACAGTTGGTTCGACCCAGGAAATGTTATTTTGTCAGTTACAGTTTGTTTTCTTTCTGTTGCCTTATAGAGAAACAAACTGTTGAACTGTTGAGGTTCATCCAGTCGATGTGGAAAGTTTGAACCACGTCTCAAACACTCTTTAAATGAACAACAATTAAATTTAGCTTCACTGCTGACCGAAGATTTTAAAGTTTTTTAAACTGTAACTTTTCCTTTCATTTCTACATTTTGCACTTTCAGGAAAACTGATGCAGTTCATTTTTTTTCTCGTGTGTTCTTTGATTTGATTTTCAAAGGAATACAGAAGTACTTGTGTGAAAAGTGTCCACATAAGGAGGAAAAGTTTTTTGAAATTACAGTGCACTTAAATGTTGCACATCTTACTGTGAGGTCACCAGGAAATACTCCTTGTTGTTGGGCCGTCCTGGTTAACACACCTCTGCAACATTACATGAGAGTCGGGTACTCGGCCTCTGGATTTGTAAATCTGGGCTGGTGGGTTCAAACACTCCTCAGCCTCCCTGAGAAGGTTTATGTCAGAATATTGAAGGAGAAACTCCATCCAATTGTGAAATCTCAAATTCAGAGCAACAATGTGGTTTCCATCCTGGTCATGCAGCACTGGACGAGCTCTTCATTCTCTCCAGGATGTGTGGGAGTGATGAGCCCAGCTGGAGCTCCTCCACACTGAAAGCACCTGACTAGGATTACACCTGTGTGCTACTTAGGTGTTGGAGGTTTGTCCAACTGGAGGACACACGTTGTCTTAATCATTCAATTCAGTTTTACTTCTACAGCTCCAAATCACAGCAACAGCCTCAAGGTGCTTTATGTTGTGAGGTCGACCCTACAATAACATTACAGTAACAAGTTTGCTGTTTGTGTGTTTTCCAGTGAAGTAGGAGAAACACAGCAGTGTGGGAACAGGAACTAAACACAATCAGGTCTGCAGCATCAAATCATTTCACTTCTAATGTTCAAAATCAAACATCTAACATATTGGAATCAAATTCCTCACAGCGTGTCATGATTCCCACCACAATCAGCAGATACAGCACTCCCAGGTTCACTTCAAAAGCTCTGAACCAGCTTCTTCTCACAGCTGGAAGCTTCTTCTCGGTGTGAACATCTACAAAGATAAAACAAAAAGTCCATTTATGAAGCACTAATGAGAGACTTTGGAGCTTTTTATTAATCCTCACTGTAGGAATGATCCCAGTAGAAAGTAAATCAGATTTACCAAACAAATCAGTCAAGTTTGTTAAAAAGTTACAGGAACTCAAACAAGGACAAAGTAACATTAGTCCATTCCAGCTGTTGTGATCGGTCGATGCATTTCTGGCCACTTCTTGGTCGCAGCTTTTGAATAGATCAGTGAGAGAAAAACAATCCTCCTCTCAATATAAGGACTAAATGAGCAAAACTATCCTGATGGACGTGAGGGAACGTAGAAAGAAGTGTAGAAACCTGAGGGACAAATATGGAGGAGAGTCCCAGAATATTAGTTTCTATGACGATCATCTGCACGCGGGTCAGAGCTGTGAGGAAAGTGTAATGCTGAGGAACTGTCAGCGGTAGTGTCGTGGATGAGAGAAGGAGGACCCAAACGCTGGACTCACAGGCAGGTAGGTGAAGGTGGATGTTTATTGCCGAAGGAGCGAGCAAACAGTACAGAGGGAGGAAATGGCTGGCTGGCTGGCTGGCTGAATGAATGAATGAATGAATGACCAAAAGACTGACTGACTGAACATACAGACGACATCAGACTTACATCATCAATGACCCGACACTGAATGGGTAGAACAGAGGGCTTAAATACACAGGCTGGTGATAATGATGATAATGAGGGACCGGTGAGTACACAGCTGAACATAATGAACTAATGATAATGGGAAGAGGACTGAACATAATACACACAGACCAAGGCTAACACAATAAAACAGGAAGTGGAACAGGCAGTAGATAAACAGTGAGTGTGAACTGAAAACACTGGGTCACCGACCCAGGAACCCTGACAGGACCCTCCCCCCAAAGGCCGGCACCCGACGGCCAAACGAAAAAGAACCAGAACAGGGCGGGCGGAGGGGGCCCAGGACGGAGGGACGGAGGCCACACAGAGACAGTTCGGGTGGGTGGCCACGTGGCCCGAGGCCGAGACGAGACAGTTCAGGTGGGCGGCCACGTGGAAGGCAGCAGCGACCACTGAGCCGGTCCGGTGGGCGGCTGCGGCGGTCGAGACGAGACTGTTCCGGTGGACCGACCGTGCGGAAGGCAACGGCGGCCACTCAGGCGAAGGCGGTCCGGGGGCCGGCCGCGCGGAAGGCAGCAGCGGCGGCGAAGGAGACGACGGAGCAGTTCAGGGGGCCGGCCGCGCGGAAGGCAGCGGCGGCGGCTCTCCAGTGTTAGGCGTGCTGGCCATGGCCCGGTGGGCACAGGACCAGACGAGGACGAAGGCTCTGAGGCTGGAGCCAGACCAGGCGGAGCAGAAGCTGAGGCAGAGGCCGGACCGGGCGTGGGTGCAGCTGAGGCAGAGGCCGGACCGGGCGTGGGTGCAGCTGAGGCAGAGGCCGGACCAGGCGAAGCTGAAGCCTCTGGCTGGAGACAGGCCGGGCCAGCGGGTGCGGAAACCCCTGGCTGAGGAGCAGGAGAGCTCACAGCTGGCTCTGGGTGCTGTGGCTGCAGGTCCGGGAACCGAACAGGATGGTGGACAGGCGACTGGGAAACAGGAGGCGACTGGGGGACTGGAGCGACTGGGAAACAGGAGGCGACTGGGAAACAGGAGGCGACTGGGAAACAGGAGGCGACTGGGAAACAGGAGGCGACTGGACTGGGGGACAGGAGCAGACTGGACTGGAGGACAGGAGGAGACTGAGCTACAGGAGGTGACTGGAGGACAGGAGGAGACTGAGCTACAGGAGGTGACTGGAGGACAGGAGGAGACTGAGCTACAGGAGGAGACTGGAGGACAGGAGGAGACTGAGCTACAGGAGGAGACTGGAGGACAGGAGGAGACTGAGCTACAGGAGGTGACTGGACTAGAGGTGAGTGAACTGACTGGAGGGAAAGCTGAACAGCAGGTGAGGGAACCGACTGGAGTGGAGATGCTAAGGGAGGAACAGAGGCAGGCGTAGCTGACGATGGAGCTGAGGTTGGTGTGGCTGATGACTGAGCTACAGACTGGGCTAGACGGGGAGATAAAGCTACGGCCTGGGCTAGTAAAGCTGGTGCCTGAGCAGGGGACACTTCAGCCAGCCTAACCAGGGATAAAGCTAGTGCGTGAAAGGCTGGATCAGGTGGTGGATGAAGTGGTGGACTGATTGGCTCTTCCGTGCCTCCAGAGCGTGAGGGCACTGGCTGGAGAGCCTCAGCTGAGTCTCTAGGGGGGTCAGGCCAGATCCTGGCCGCCCTCAGCCTAGGCGCTGGGACAGGCACGGGAGGTGGCTGGACACCAGTCACCCCCACCCGAGGAACAGAGGTGGGTGTGGAGGTATACGGGGTCACAGCTGCCCTCGTCCTGGGTGCGGGCGTCGGCTGACTGACAGGAGTGGAAATGATGACTGGGTGATGATACTGACAGGTGTATCTGGCTTTATTCTGGTCCTTCTGCCACCACTATTTACAGTCTTTGACTGAACAGTCTTTGGGGGAGCAGAGCAGAAAAAAATCTTTCCAGTCCACTTCATCCTCTAGGAGGGAAACATCCCATGAATCAGAAAAGGGTCTATTGTGTGTTTTAAGTGGATAATCAGACGGTGAGTGCGAAAAACAGTCACTGGAGCTCACCATCGGGAGATGCTGGAAATGGTCCTTGTTATGGCGACGTGTGCGCCGCTTTCTCCGTGAAGAGGCAGTGGGCGGGGTACACAGCCGAGCCTCTGGCACGGGAGCCTCCATTGAGCCGAGGTGGGAGGCGGAGCCACCGTGCCATGGCGAGGTTGAAGGTCCGGTGAGTAAAATGGCTGGCGGGCGAGCGAGGAGCGTAGCAGCGGAAGAGCGAGCGGCCGAAGCCTGGCCTGTGACGCCCACTCTCCGCGGCGAATGCTCCGATGCAGGTGAGGCAGCAGGTGGAGGACCGCGGCGTCTCCGAGGGCCGCCCAGAGCCAGACGAGTCCCCTCAAAGACGTGCTCCCTCTCTGAGAAGAGCTGCTGTTTCCACCTGAGCTTCTCAGCCCAAATGGAGAGCGCTGCGTCCTGCCGCTCGAAAAGGTCCGAGTCCGCTGGGTCCACAACGCGGGGTCGGGTCATTCTGTCAGCGGTAGTGTCGTGGATGAGAGAGGGAGGACCCAAACGCTGGACTCACAGGCAGGTAGGTGAAGGTGGATGTTTATTGCCGAAGGAGCGAGCAAACAGTACAGAGAGAGGAAATGGCTGGCTGGCTGAATGAATGAATGAATGAATGAATGACTGACTGACTGAACATACAGCCGCCATCAGACTTACATCATCAATGACCCGACACTGAATGGGTAGAACAGAGGGCTTAAATACACAGGCTGGTGATAATGATGATAATGAGGGACCGGTGAGTACACAGCTGAACATAATGAACTAATGATAATGGGAAGAGGACTGAACATAATACACACAGACCAAGGCTAACACAATAAAACAGGAAGTGGAACAGGCAGTAGATAAACAGTGAGTGTGAACTGAAAACACTGGGTCACCGACCCAGGAACCCTGACAGGAACAACCATGAACTGTGGAAACTTTAAAGCTGATTTATAACAGAGTGGTGCTGGGTGTGTGTTACTCTGTGTTTGTGCTTCAGTTACACTCAGTTAGCTTTCTGCTAGCTGTTTCCATCAGTTTGCTTCTCTCCTCTCTACACTCACTCATACTGCATTTTGATGCAGCTGAACTCACAATGAATCTGCATCTTTCTGTTCCTGTTGTCAGACCACAGAACAACTATGACCTACTGATTTAAACGTGCTGCATTAACTGCAGGGGGAAGCTGCTAACACACTGCAGCTGCATACCAAGCTGCTGCTCTGCACCTCTGAAAGACGCATTTTTGGAAGCACAACATTGTCGGACAAACTCGACATTCACATATGTTTAAAACAATGACTGTGTGGACAATCTGGCTGTATTTACAGTCATGTTATCACTTGGAGAGGAAGCAGAAAGAGCTGTGCTGCTCCTATTGGCTGCTTCTCTCTGCCACTCACAGACCTCTTCCTGAAAGCAGAGCAGCAGCTGAACCAGTTGGACTTGAAGCCACAGACACTGAAACAGTCAGACGGTTAGAAACGGAGCTCCTAACTGGGAGTAAACAGGCCCAGTGCAACAAATGATCTGTGTGCCAGTTTGGACTGGAAACATATTCTGGGCACATGTGACACGAACACTAATATGTCTTAAAGTGGTCGGATATCAGAGCTTTAAAAGACACTGAACAACACTTTCATCACCAACATTTTCTTTGGTTTGGTCACTTTGATGATTTCCTGCTTACCAGCTTCTTGTAGGCCAACGTCAGGGTGCTGCTCTCCATCATCTAACACCTCCACCTCACTCTGCTCTCTCACTCCTCCATCCTCCTGGGACCCTCTGCTGTATTTCACCCTGAAATCTTCAACACTTTGAATTTCTGTAGACATTTTGAGCTGAAAGATCTTTGAGCAGCTTCACCGTCTGTCTGTGTCTTTAAGTCCGACAGCTTTGAAGAGAAAACAAAGAGGAAGTAAAACAGGACGAGTCACAGTTCTTCTGACACGTCAGGAGGCGTCAAACTGTCAGTTATGTACAAATGAAAACAACATTCAACAAGATCTGAAGTTCAGTTACAAGAATGTAAAACACTGAAAGAAGTTTTGTTTTTAATATTTTCTATCACAGAGATAATAAGCTTTAACTCAGCAGCTGCAGTATGTTTATAATAACACGGCTTTGTTAGACGCTGCCTTCTACAAACTGTAAGTACATCGAAGCAGCAGAGAGAAGAAGTGTTTGTGACACAGGAAATATGTCAGAGTGAACTATTTATTTTTACCAGCACAGAAACTAACAGGGCAGCGTGGTGCTGCAGTGGTGAGCACCATCACTTCTCAGAAAGAGAGTTCCTGTTTTGGGTGGAGTCTTTCTGTGTGGAGGCTCATGGTCCTGGTCTGTGAGCCAGCGTTTGTGTTTGACGTCTGATTCTGGTTCATTTCATGTTCTGAGGTGAAGTTTTGGTCATGATTGTTGTGTCTCTGTTTGTGTCCCAGGTCTTAGTTTGTTGTCTAGCCTCAGGTTTTGTGTTATCATCCCCCCTCTGTGTCCCCGCCCTCTTCCTGTGTTAGTATCTCTCTGTGAAGTCAGTCTTGTCTCCATGCTGATTGGCCTGTTCCCCAGTCGTGTCTCTGTTTCTCTCACTCCCTCTGTTCCCTGTGTTCAGTCAGTCTGTGTCTCAGTGTGTGTTTCTGCTGTTTCCTGTTTTACTCTGACAGTCTCTCGTCCTGTGTGCATCTTGTTTAGTTTTGCTTCCTGGTCTCGTTAGTTTGATTATGTTCAGCTTTGTTCCCACCTGTGATCTGTTCCCTTGTGTTTCTTCTCACAGCCTCCTTCATTCCCTCCAGCTGTGTGTTCGTCTGTTTAGTATTTCTTGGTCTAGTTATGGTGTTTTTGTAATCAGTAATAAATTGTCTTTAAGTTTGGTTTCTGTCTCCGACTCCCACATTTTATCTGCTATCCTGCCTTGCCTCACACAGCGGTACATGACAGGAGATCTCGAGCACTAAAATAAAGCAGCAGACTCCGACCTACAAGTGGCAGCAAGTAGCCGTTTCCTTTTCTTGAGGAAAAGCTGAAGTGGAAGCGTTGGCTCACCCCTGGTAGGAGCACATTTTCAGTGGTACTCACCGGGCTCTAAGGGGTCCTCAAAGACGCCGTGTTCGTCCACCTGCTGCCCCGCCTGCACCTGATGCTCTGCAGCTGAAAGTGGGCATCATCCACCCATCTCTGGTTGCTCACAGGGGTTGATCAGCCTCTCTGCTGCCCACTCATTGGCCTGCCTCCTCATAAGCTCTTCCACCTCGATCCTCAAAGAGTTTCCTGTCTGGGGCCATCAGAGGCTCATTTATCCGGTTTCCCTTTTTCCTTCACCAAGAAGAAAAAAGTGCAGATTTCCTTCTCACGTGGAGCAACAACCTATCACCAGCTGCCGACTCCACCTGGATGATGCCGTTTTGCTCGCCGGAGATTTTACGGGCCGGCTCATCACAGGCTCCTCAGCTGGAATGATGTTGCATCAGCAGCTCCAAACTCTCCTGTTTCCTCAGGCCGGAGGAGACGACGCTCCTACTATCCTCCCTCTGTGAGTAAAACTGACGATTAGACTCTGCTCTTTGTTCCCACCTGTGGTCTGTTCCCTTATTGTTTGTATTCATTGTCTGCATTCCCTTGTGTTGCTTGTTGTTGGGTCTGAACATACGACCCTGCTGGATTCAGACCACGAGAGACTGCAAACACAACACAAGAGCCACTGGTACGGTTTGCTTGCAAGGGGAGATTGCCTCCCAGAACTGACACAAGCTCCCTGTAGCCAACTCCAAACTCCCCTCGCAGCCTTTTATTCAGAGAACACACACTGTGAATGTGTTTGTATGTGTGTGTGTCTCTGTAAACGTGACTTCCTGCTACACAACATATGTTTACAACCGTTTAACAACATCCCTATTCATAAAAGGGTCATCTCCCCCCACCCTGTATATGGCTTAACCCCCTTAATGGTCCCCCATATACAAGCATAGGTGAGCCCATGAAGGGCAGGAAGTGGACGTTCCTGAGCAAATAAGGAAACCAGAATCTTTACCTGGAATGTGCCTGCAGTTGAACACTATAGCTGTAGCCTCCCCCACCATCCTACATGCAGGGAGGAGAACAGAAACAAGGATATCTTCAATCATGCAGTTTAAACAAGGTTCACAATTCGAAGCACAACAATGACAATTTTTAACAAAGTCACTCCAACACTTGTCATGATCTCCCTCATCCCTCCAGCTGTGTGTTCCAGTTAGTGTTTCCTGGTTTACTTGTGGTGCTTTTGTAATCAAGAACACCATAACTAGCGCAGCAGCCAGACCCTGAACTTCAGCAGGTAACTGATGAGCAGTCAGGCTGCAGCCTCCGTCTCCACCTGTTCATGCTTCTATGATAGAATCACTGGATAGACCAAGAACAAGCTGGAGAAATTAGATCTCTTGGCTGGCCTGGGAACACCTTGATGTTCCCTTGGATAAGCTGGAGGAGGTGTAACTTCCGAGTATCCTGAGTCCTCTGAGTTATCCAGCCAAGCCCCAGCAGGGCTCCTGTCTGCCTCCAAGTCTCCAGAGAGACTCTGCCTTTGCAGCCAATCTTCAAAGCAGCCCCTCCACTGTTAGCAACACGTCCGACCTCCAGAGACGTTCTTTCATCTCCTCCGTTTTCATACTGTCCACATGTTCTGAGCCTCTTCTCCTCTCTGCTTCCGGGCCAACCCCACCATTGTTTTTGTTCTTTTACGTTTCTGCTCTCTGGTTTTCATTTTAGTTCTGGGTAAAAATCTTCTTACCGACTGCTGTTACCGTCAAATCTGAGCTTCTCTTGGTCGACTCTAAATCAACATTATCCAGAACCAACAGTTTGACTATAACGATCAATAACTCGCCGGTCTCTGTTTCTTCCTCTGTGAAAAGTTTGGGTATCATCCTCGACAGTACTCTATCGTTCAGTTCACACATTAACGATGTTACTCAGTCTGCATATTTTCAATTGTGCAACATTAATCGTCTCCGTCCTTTTCTCACTCCACATGCCGCTGCCGTTCTTGTTCACAGTGTTGTTACTGCTCGGATCGATTACTGTGATTCACTTCTTTTTGGTCTTACTCAAAAATCCATTAATGAGCTTTAATGTGTCCAGAACTCTGCTGCTCGTATCATCACCAGGACCCCTTCTACAGATCTCATCACTCCCAGTTAGATATCACATCATTGTCAAAATACTTTTGTACACATTTAAGGCTGTTCATCATCTGTCTCTGATGATGATCCCGTCTCGGTGTCTTAGATCTCCTTCCTCTCTTTCTCTCTCTAGCCCCGCCCCCTGTCTTGCCACCGTGGCTTTCAGCTGCTCTGCTCCTCGACTCTGGAGTTCACGACCTCCTGATTTAAGAAATATCACTTCCTTCTCTCTCTTTAAGTCTAGACAAAAACTCACTGGTTCAAAATAGCTTATCCCACATAACCTCTCCACTCTGCTATGTTAAATTAGTTTTATGCCTTATGACTTTATGATTGTGTAAACTGCCTGCTTTTCTGTTGCTTTTATTATTCTGCTGTGTACAGTGTCCTTGAGTGTTCTTCAAATAAAATGTGGTAAAATGAAAGTGATGATGGTGGTACTCTAATGTTTCCATTACTGCCACCATCAGGCCAAACTTTGCTATGATTATAATTATTTAAAGTTGTAGTTATTCTGGGACCACTAACTTTTGTACATTTACATATTTTACACTATTTAACCGTTTTTGTTTTTAAAGAAAAGCAGAACGATGTGCAGCCAGAGTTTATTTCATCATTTAAATGAACACACTGAAGTTACAGGCTGCAGACATGGTACAGAGAGGGTGGAGCTGCCTGCAGCTGTCTGTGGTGCTGAAGCTTTCAAACATTTCATACCAACACTGACTACAACTGTGACCACAGGGGGGCAGCATAGAGCCAGAGAGTGTTAGTGTAGCTGTTCAGCCCTATAGTAAGAAACAAGAAGACTGATGAAGGGAAAGCTTCTTCCACTGGTGTAACACACAGGTTTGTATGAAGTCACACTAACTAACCAGCAGTAACCCACATTTGATCAAAGCAGGGGCAGAACTTTAATAACAGGTTATAATGTGTCATCACAGTTGTTGTCAATCCAAACACACTTTCTGATTGTTGCTGTTTATTGTAAAAGAACAACACACTTGTGGTCTGACCTAATGCTGTAGTGCAACAACAACTATACAAATGTGAGCTCAGTGCAGACTATGCTGACTCACTGCACCATCCTGTGGTACAAAGTGGTATTACATGAGAGTACAGGCTGACATTAGCTGGATGCTAACTTCAGTTCATATATAGATGTGTTGAACGTGACGTCAGAGATGTTTTCTTCATATTCTGTTGATGTTTTTTAGTTTTGAAATATTTCAAAGTGTCTCCAAGTTAAATGTTGAGCCTTTAATATAGCGACACTTAGAGCTCTGAAGCCGTTTTCTCTGTTTTACTATTTAAACAATAAGTTACTGAGTAAGTTATTTTATCTGTAATTAAAGTCATCAACACTTAAAGCTTTATATGAAATATTTGTTTTTCAAATCAGAATACAAAAATTAAATACAACTTCCATATAAAATGCAAAACTAAATATATATGACTCACATAACACAATTAACATTTAATGTCTTTCTGTCACTTTCACATACACAGAGGTTTAAAAATGTCCTTCTGATGTTCCAGCTGATCAGAACCTTTAAAATTCTTATTAATCAAACATATTTTTTGCTGAACTTTTACAAACAAGACATTTACTGAAGTTTTAGGACCAACAGACTGACGAATAAACCAAGTAAACCAAAGTAAAGACAAGCTGCACTTTGACTTTTATTAGAACAATTTGCTGGAACTACAGAGTAATGAAGTACTTCAAGGTTTTGTGTGGATGACTTCCAACCTTACTGTACAGCACAGAGCACAGAGGGACAATATATGTAATCAATATATGATGCAGAATGAACAAGTAAAGACTGTAAGCTGAGTCTGAGGCTCATGCAGGACATTTCATAGTGAGGTGTCTTTGGTTGGATTATTCAAACATTTACATCAAAGCACCAAACTCATTTCTCACAGATGAAGGTCTTTGATTCAGAATAATATGACCGTGTCCATTTCCCATCATAGTCACAACAAGCTGCATAGTAAGCCAAACTGTCACTCTGCTGTCCTGCTGCCCAGAAGCTGTCAGAGAGATCAATTATGATATTAAACTGGACTAAATTGTTTCTGCTTTTCTTTACATTCAGTTTGTGGGGCTGGTGAAAAAACATTTCAACTCATGTTTTGCTGATCTAACTTCTATGTATGGTTCTGATAACTTCTGGAATAACTGCGACAGCATTGTAATATGAAATAGTCTCACGTTTCTGTCAGCAGTGATCCATCCATCCATTTCCATTCATGTTTCTGAGAAGTGCGTTCCAGACCAATCCAGGACTCTCCTCTCATGTTCAGTTCATTGACAAATTCCTGTTTGAGAAGAGACACAAATATTGTCTCCAGTCATAATTCAGCACTTCTGTTGTAGTGACATCATCTTGTGAACATGTCTGAAGGAAGAATAACTGTGATGAAACTTTTCTTCCATTGTGCAGAAATCAGAAAGAGCCAAAGAATCGATGAATATCAGCTCCTCCTGTCGCTCAATAACAAACTCAGCTAACATTTCATTTTACTGAGTTTCATTTAACAAAAACAAAGAAAGAGAGAATTATATTTACCAACCAATTTACCAATAAACTCTACATTTCAATCAAGTATTTTGTTCCATAAATTCCTCTTTGCTTTAGAAATTTGTTAAATAAAATGTCTGAATTTGCAACATTACATTTGAAATGTTAAAAACATAAACTCTCAATATGGAAACAAAATAACCAAACACAGAAATCCATCAGAGCGGAGACAGGAAGCAGGTCACAGACTGACAGCAGGTCAAAGACACAAGTAACAGATGACTGTCAGCTCCATCAAAGATCACACAGACATGAACAAACACACCCACCTGTTCCTCTTTGCTGTTTATCATCACCAGATCAGCTCCTTTATCCTGACACAGTTTTCGACTCTCATACCAAGTTTTTGTCTCATTGAACTTAAAGTAACAGCTGCTTCCAAACCTCGTCCATCGATCAGGACACTTCTCTTAAAGTCAAACACATGTTTTAAAGACAGATGTAATTTCACTGAGTATCAAACTGAAAAAATCTGTATTGTGCATGTATTATTATAGTTATATTCTCCTTTTCCCCCAACATGATTTAAATTCATTTGAACTCAGCACAAAACATTTATAATTAAAAATGATTCAGTCAGGTGATCAGTGTGTAAATCTGATGTTTTTAACATTTGTTTAACATCTCTAACCTACTACTGTGTCCTGTGGCTTTCTTCATCCTGTAGCTGTTTAGATTTTTAGATAATAATCATATCATAACTGATCTATAGCTGTTGCAACTGACTGTTGTCGGCTTCATACTGAGAAACAATTGATGAAACAGTCAAAGAACTTGATAAACATGTTTTTACTTATTTGTTTTTCTTACCTGCACAGTTGTTGTTTTGGTTCTGCAGCTGCTGTTTTATCAAAGTAACTAAAATATGTGTTTAGAAATTTAACAAGAAACAGACTGAAAACATGAAATCTACAACCATGAAACACAACAACATCACAACAATGACTGAAAATCACAATCACACTTTTGTATTCACTGTCTTTGTAATTTACATGTGGATGTTTCTCCTCTGGTGGAAACAGAAGTGAAGCGCACAGCTGAAAATAATAAACTCATAAATGTCACTCTGCCAGGAAATCTTACTGCATTATCAAATATTTATCAGCCAATCGTTTAAACTCATCTGAAAAATCAGATATGCATCATAGAGAACAGCAGGAAAAGAAACAATAACACGTAAAACTGTTTTCAGCATGAAATGATGTTGGTCTGGCTGAAAGCAACTGAAATATTTAAACAGGTATCACAGCAACATCAGAAAAGCTCAGTGAGAGATTCAAACAGAAATAATCTTCTTCCTCTGCTTTTTCAAATATCAATAAGAGTCAGAAACTTGCAGCCATTGTTCTTTAACATGTCCTGTGGGTGGAGGTGTTAGAACTACAGGAAATCTGATGAGCTAAATACGTATCAACTGTGAACAAAAACCACTGACAAGATTCAGAATAATTGTTCTCGGTGTGGAGGAAGGTGTTAGAAATGCAGTCAGAGATGTTATCTTTAGGTTTTTGAAAGAACAGACAAGCTGCCGTGGGAATCAACACTTCCTCATATCAAAGCTGTTTCCATGTGATCAGGTACTTCCTGTATTTGCTGTGGCAGAAGGACACGTTCTGGTTGTGAAGCTGCATGTTTGTTGGCTGCTGGGATTCAGTATCAGTCATACATTCATTTGCAGCCAAGATCCCATCTTTGTAGCTCAGACTGCTGAAGACTCACACTGACTGCCTGCAGCATCTCATATAGCACACACAGCATCAGTGTCTATGATACAGTAACAGACTGAACTTTGACCTGTTGTTATGACTGTCATCATATTTGTGTCATTTTGTGTAACTGCTGTGTTTTTCTGTCCTTCATGCAAAGCTCTGCATGCTGCGCCTCAGCTGTGACTGAATGAGAGGATGATAACGGGCATGTGCAGGTACTCTGCTGTGATTGGTGCACCAACATGCTGCTTTATGATTACATAAAGAGCCAAGATGGCCGCCGTCTGCAGACGACTCATTCAGCTTTTCCTTGTTCCACCCTGCCACACCTGTGCAGCTCTCACTCTGTGTTTCCTGTTTCACTCTGAAGGAGTTTGTAGGGCTGAGCTGCCTTTGACTGGGAACAGTTTCTCCTGTTTATGTCAGTTTGGGAGGTCAGCTGAAGCTTATTTCTCTGATACTATTTTTATCAGTTGCATTTGTTGATCTCTTTAATAATTAGAGTATATATTGACAATAACACCCAGTCCAGTCAAAGGAGTCCCTCAAACCAGTGTTATCCTTATGCCAACAACAAACAGGGATAAATGGGGAGGGTTGTGTCAGGAAGGGCATCTGGGGTACAATTCAAACATATAGATAATCACTAAGATTCCTGCACTGGTGGTGCTGTTGCTCAGCAGTTTGCCAACAGTGAGAGAGAAGGAAAGGCTAAAATATAGAGGTGATCTCAGATACTCTAAACATAGAAGTAAGACTGATAAATGGAATGATGTGGCTGATATATCCAAATGAAGGAAGGTAGATTTGTGGGCAGAAGACCAGATAGAAGGGAAGCAAGGCCTGGAGCACTTACGTTCACACTGCAGGTCTTAATGCTCAATTCCAATCTTTTGATCAAATCCTATTTCTTTTGTCTGGTTGTTCACACTACAAATAAAATGTGATGGCAAACGCGCTCTAGTGTGAACTGTTCACGGCCCTCAAAGCTGCCCGCATGAGCAAAAGAAGACGTCACACACAACGCGCTCTGTTTACGGAAATAAAAATGGCGGCTTCAGAGCTAGTAGGTGTTGTTGCAGCAGTCTATCAATTTCTGCACAGTCGTAACCAACACAATTTTCACAAATTAATTACAGAAAGAAGGACACTGAAAAAAAAAAGAAGAAAAAGACAGCCTGTGATTTAACAATGACCTTGTTTGGAGCAGTGGCTGCTACCTCCGTGCAGAGGTGTATATGGACACGGAGTCGTTTAACTTGAATAGAATTGTTTCACCATATGCCAATCAAGTCCAAAACCTCAGTTTCTGTCCATTGACTCGCTTCGTCTCCAGTTTCTGCTGCCATGCTTCCTCGTTTGTCTTCTCTGGCACTGATAATAGGCGTCTGTCTTGTGTCAGTGACGTAAAAGACGGATGACATGACCATTCAAACAGCAGTTGCTTTCTAAAACATCAGATATGTATCGGATTCAGTACCACATACGAAAGTGATCCAGGTCCCATTTGAAAATATCGAATTTGTGCTGTTCAAACTGTCATACCATGATCGGATACGAGTCGCACAGGGTCAAAAAAGTCAGATTTGATGAGCTTTCGTGTGCAGTGTGAACGTAGCCTTAGACGAAGTCAAGCAGTTCTGCCAATAAGGAAGGATAATCTTGAAAGAAGAGTATCTAAGCAGTGTTGTGGAGGTGACGGGAATGCTCTACACAATCATGGATTTGAAGCTGCAAGTTGAAGGTATGATGTTGATATTGTCAGTGTGTGAACCCCACAGGTTGGAGGTCAGTTAGAGGAGAGAGGAATTCTGGAGTAAGGTGGATGCAGTGGAAGAGCCACTTTGTCCAAGAGTGGTGATTGGAGCAGACTTCAGTGGACATGTAGTTGAACAGAGGTGTTGGGTAGGAATAATGTGAAGAAGAGAAATGTAGAAGGACAGATGGTACTGGACCTTTTAAAAGAAAGGATGGAAATGGCAGTGGTGAACATAAGTTTCAAGCAGACACAGGAACACAGGCCGGTAGAGAGGAGCACACAGAAGGACGAGATCTTATTGTATCTTATCTTACAGTGTATGGAGAGGATGATGATCCCAGCTAACATCAGGAGGCACAGCACTGCTAGACCCAGTGTAGCACATCTGAAAGAGCCCTTCTGGACTGAAGGACTCTTAGTCTTTGGTCCTGTTAGAAAACAGTGCAGATGTTGGTTTGTGGTCATTTCGTGTCACTGCCTTTAATAGACCTGTGGTTGTGGTTGGATGAGCTCAACTTCACAAAAGAATCAGATACCAAAATATATCTTTATTGTGATTAACCCTCAACCAACCAAACTATTTATGCAAGACGTCAACTGACTAAAGTTATAGAGTGGGTCATTTATGACCTTACATTTTAGAGTAATATATTCTAAGTGGCTCTTTATTTTTTTATCATACACATACTGTTTTTATTAGCTGTCAAACATATTCTAACCTGATATCATTACTTTTGTTTTATTAAAAAACCCCCAAAAAAGAAGAAGAAGCGGTCTTGTTTAGAAAGAATACGTTTTCTGAAACTGCGCTTGTGTCTGAAAGCTAGCAGCTGTTCCTGCACACAGAGCTCAGCAGCAGGCAGATAGTATTTGAGTAACAGTTACAAACATTGTCTGAACATCCCTGAAAGCAGCAGCGTTGTCCATAACCATCCACTGTGCTGGTTTATCATTAAGTCTAAATGTGTTTTCTATGCAGAGCCAACTGTATAAACAGGTAATATGAAGAAATCATGCTGCATATGAAAAGAGCAAATCAGGTAAAAGGTTCATACAGCACATGGAGATGATTGATGGGCTGCAGTTCATTGGGATTAAAAGCTGACTGTAACAAACTGGAAGCAAACAGATTATTACAGGTGACTTACCTCCTCCTTGTGATTGAATTCCAGTGTGAGCAAAGTCTGCACTGTCGTAGATACACGTAGTATAGATATCCACCTCCCTCTGCTCCCACTCTGCTCCATCCTCCTTTCTGCTGTTTCTCACCTTCTTTGATAGATCTGGTTTGGCATAGATATGTGAGGACATGTTGAGAGGACTGAGACACTGAGCAGGAGCTTAAACTGCACTCTAACCGTTGTGCACTGCTAACTCTGGCAGATACAATGATATACTGTCCTGACACTGATGTCACTTTTGGCCGGCCTTCTTCCTGCTTTCAGAACGGAAGAAACTTTTCAGAAGCAACAAAGAAGCACAAACCCACAAAACCTCGGCTGTGCTGAGAGGAGCATTTCTTTGTCTTTATATTTGTAAAGCCTGAGACAAACTATAAAAACACTTGTTTAACAAAAGAATAAGTGCATTTTGATCTGCTCAATAAAAAGTGAGCTTAGAGATATGGTAAATGGTCAATGACCTGTATTTGTATAGTGATTTACTTGGTCCCTAAGGACCCCAAAGCGCTTTAAGCATCCAGCCACTCACACACACATTGACACAAGCTACACTGTAGCCACAGCCGCCCGGGGCGCACTGGCAGAGGCGCCAGCACAAACAAATTCAGCCTTTCGCTTGTACTTTCTCAGCTCCACTTTTATTTCTGTTGCATTTTAGAGAAACACACCATTTTGACTGCTTGAGATTGTAGATGCTTTCATTAGATCATCTCTCAGTCACTGAGCACTAAAACAATGATGTGACTGTAATGTTCCCATTACTGCCACCATCATGCCAAATCTTATTTAGGTATTTTTCAGATTTCCTTCTCCTTTTGTTCAAGACCTGGCAAACATGGGGACCAGCCAATGGTATCAATTCCTTTAAAAATGTATTGATTTATATATATATATAAAAAAAGATCTAATATTGATTTTCACCTTTTACCATTTCAGACAGGTTTTTTCAGATTCTCTGAGCCTTCTGATGTTATTATGCACTGTAGATGATGATTCTTCTGTAATATATACTTTATATAAATTTAATTTCTAAATTTAAGTACTGAATAAGTAATCTTAAGGAGTGTGTGATTTCATGATGTTTGTAATTGTAATGTGAAGGCTGTGTGCAGGCATGAATGGTGAAATGGAGGACCCAAAGTGCAGACTCCGGAGACAAACTGAACTCAAAAACAAACTCCCGAGGTCAACGGCCCAACAACACAAAAGTCCAAAAAACAGTTCAGGAGGCCGACCGCAAAGCCAGTGATGGCGATAGAGCAGGTCCCGAGGCCGGCCGCAATGAGGACATGCGTGGGAGCCGCAGGAGGTGGCGCTGCAGGCACCGGCGTGGGAGTCGCAGGAGGTGGCGCTGCAGACGACGGCGTGGGAGCCCCAGGAGGTGGCGCTGCAGGTGCTGGCGTGGGAGCCGCAGGAGTTGGCGCTGCAGGCGCCGGCGTGGGAGCCCCAGGAGGTGGCGCTGCAGGCGACGGCGTTACTCAAAAAGTAACAAACTTCCAAATAACCTTACGCAGACAGACAGAACACAGCAAGCTGAGGGTAGTTTGTGACACAGACAGATGTAAACACAGGGCTTAAATACACAGAGTGGGCAATCAGGGAATGAGAGACAGGAGGGAAACACAGCTGGGGCAGCTCAGGCCTGACGAGACAAAGGAAGCAAAACCAGATGCATTACATGAGACACAGACTTTCAAAGTAAAACAGGAAACATAACACAGAAACACAGACTTGACACAGGGTACAGCAGACCGGGAAGACAGCAACTATGGATCACAGACAGAAAACCAGACGACTACAACTCTAACAAAACCCACACAGAACCTAAACTAAGAATAATCCTATAACCCATAAGGCACAGCTGGAATTTAATAAAATCAACAAAATCAAAGAACCAAAACAAAAACACTGGGTCGATGACCCAGCACCCTAACAGTATCCATCTTTATTCACTTGTTATATACCTTATGGGAAAATGTAATGAAAACTATAAAATGTGCTGTTATAAAGTCAGATTGTATAAAAACAGAACTTATTTCTTATTATCTTTAAATATTTAATAATTTAATCGTCTTTATTATTATTTTTTTTAGTTTCAATATATATATGAACCAAAACTGTCACCACAGGGGGCAGCATAGAGCCAGAGAGTGTTAGTGTAGCTGTTCACCCCTATAGTAAGAAACAAGAAGACTGATGAAGGAAAAGCTTCTTCCACTGGTGTAACACACAGGTTTGTATGAAGTCACACTAACTAACCAGCAGTAACCCACATTTGATCAAAGCAGGGGCAGAACTTTAATAACAGGTTATAATGTGTCATCACAGTTGTTGTCAATCCAAACACACTTTCTGATTGTTGCTGTTTATTGTAAAAGAACAACACACTGGGAGTACAGAGTGTGTATGGGGAGTATGTGTGCTGCATTTATTTGTGTGTGTCTCTATGATAGGTGAGTATTTGTATCTGTGTACATGAGGGTAGGAATGCATGTTTGTGTCTTCTTAGAAGCTTGGAAAGAAAAGCGTCTGGACTTCTTTAAGTTGCTTGAAGACGTTTTCACCTGTTCTCTCTGTTGAAAATGTGAACATTGGCATCCTCGAAGGAGTGTCCTTTAGATGCAGATGGACAGAGTCTTGTCCCGTGGAGGTGGCTCTTGTGTCTGTTTGTCTATGTCTGTCAGGTCAGGTATTAAACGTCACCTCTCTCAGTACATGTTGCTCCCCTGTGGTTTCTCCACTGGCTGCTGGCTGAGCCCCGCGCCTATGACTCTACTCAGCTCATTTCTACAGTGGGATGCAAACGTTTGGGCAACCTTGTTAATAGTCATTATTTTCCTGTATAAATCGTGGTTGTTACAATAAAAAATGTCAGTTAAATATATCGTATAGGAGACACACACAGTGATATTTGAGAAGTGAAATGAAGTTTATTGGATTTACAGAAAGTGTGCAAGAATTGTTTAAACAAAATCAGGCAGGTGCATAAATGTGGGCACCACAAAAAAAGAAATGAAATCGATATTTAGTAGATCCGCCTTCTGCAGAAATTACAGCCTCTAAACGCTTCCTGTAGGTCCCGATGAGAGTCTGGATTGCGGTTGAAGGTATTTTGGATCATTCCTCTTTACAGAACATCTCTAGTTCATTCAGGTTTGATGGCTTCTGAGTATGGACAGCTCTCTTTAACTCACACCACAGGTTTTCAAGGTTTTCAGGTCTGGGGACTGAGATGAACGTTCCAGAACGTTGTTCCTCTGCATGAATGCTTTAGTGGATTTTGAGCAGTGTTTCGGGTCCTTGTCTTGTTGAAAGATCCAGCCCCGGCGCAGCTTCAGCTTTGTCACGGCTTTACAAGTAATGGCGTTACCAACGGCGTTACTTTTTTCAGTAACGAGTAATCTAACTAATTACTATTCCTATCGTTACAACGCCGTTACAGTTACTAACAAGAAAATGTGGTCCGTTACTATTTTTCAACAAACAGACGGCTGAAGCTGTGTTCAGCATCTTATAATTATACCCTGGACCCCAGAGGGTTAAACATTTTTTTAAAGTAACGCAGTAGTTACTTTTCAAGTAATTAATTACTTTTAGAATATTGTAACTCAGTTACTAACTCAGTTACTTTTTTGAAGAAGTAACTAGTAACTATAATTAATTACTTTTTCAAAGTAGCTTGCCCAACACTGGTAATGACATGTTCCTTAATAGAGCTACTCAGTCAGTATTAAGACTTTTTGTAATACACAAGTTTTATTCGCCACAATGAGTCCAGGACAGGTATTATATGTTTTTGGTAGAATGCCTCTGAGTGATTATAGAAATCAGTTGAAATCCTTTATGCATTCTTGGTGCATGCAGAGGTGCCTCTAAGTTAGGCAGATAACTGGTTGGTGCCCAAAGGCAATAGCACCAGCAGGGGGCCCCTTAGGACTGACAATAATAATAATAATAATAACGGATTGGATTTATATAGCGGTTTTCAAGGCACCCAAAGCACTTTACAATACCACTATTCATTCACACACTGGTGGAGGCAGCTACAGTTGTAGCCACAGCTGCCCTGGGGCAGACTGACGGAAGCGAGGCTGCCATATCGCGCCATCGGCCCCTCTGGCCAACACCAGTAGGGTAAAGTGTCTTGCCCAAGGACACAACGACCAGGACAGAGAGCCCGGGAATCGAACCGGCAACCTTCCGGTTACAGATGCGCTTCCCAACCCCCTGAGCCACGGTCGCCTGTGGACAAACCAGACACAGCAGCAATGTACAAAGTTTGCAGTGACAGTTAGCGACATGACCTTACTAAGGGGCCCCAGCTGTCTCCATTCAGTCATACTGCAAGGGTCATTTATGAATCATTCTACACAAACATAAGCACTGATGCCAGCCAGTGAAAACTAAGGTGAGATAGACCCTCGGGCAGATATTCTTTTGGACACATGTACCAGAACAAATACAGCATCCCACGTTATCTTTCTCTGTCTTACACACTTGCTATAAATGCTTAAACTGCTGCCACTGTCATTATTGAAACCTGCTGCTGAAATCAAATTTAGAATGAGACAACACATTTTAACAGTAAACCATGAATTAAGAGACAAGTCAGCTTATTTTGCCTCATGTTTCCTAATGTCCTTCATCCTGAATCCTTCCATAGCTGCTGTGTTAGAGCTTCACCAGGTGAGGTCTCCACAGCATTGGTGTTGTGTAGTGATGTTTCGGTGCTTACCACAAAACACACACAGATCACAGATGAACATCCTCCCCACTCCGCCACCCAGCAAAACATGCAGTGTCTACCTTCTTTAATATATATGTTTGTGTATGAGTTCTTGGTATTTTTGTTCCTGGTGAGTCTCTGGGAGTGTACTCAGAGCCTTAGGATAAGTTCAAAACTTGAAGGATTTGAGGAGTCTTTCTTCAGGTAAAAGAAAATGCAGTACACACAGTATGACATTGACCCTTAGACAAGTGCTTGCTAAGACTAATGCTATTCTGACACTTTCACCTGAGAAAAAGTGACCCAGCAGACAGAAGTAGACAACACATCAGTACAACAGTGCAATTAGAATGATTCCACAACTCAACCGAAAGATTTTCCATCTGCCTAATTTCAGTCAATTTACCAATTACTATGAAAATGGGGTCCTAGAAATTACAGCAAAAAAAAAAGGAGCATGTTAGATCACTGGGATTCAGTACAGTACAAATGCCTTATTGTTGTGACCTTAAATAGTTAAAGCCATGAGTATGTTATTTACCACGTGTGGGACCTCGGTGCTAATGATTAACAGATTTTAATCAGTGTGGTGTGGTTTGAATAAAGTTGGCAAAATGTTGCTGGAAAGTTCTGTTTTCTTTTTTTTTCTTCAAGAGGCAATAAAGAGCAAGGTAGGGACTGAAGAGGATGCTACTCTTCAGTCTTTGGTATGCAGTGATGAGGCCATCATACTGCTGATGCCTGAAGATCTGGACAATGAGTGCCAAGCCCACCATGACTGAGTGGAGCTCGGAGACCAAGAGAAAAATGGCAGAGAGCCATTGAGCAAGAGAAAAGCCATGCAGAACATTGACAACTCAGGTGAGCTTATAGGGAAGAAGATTTAAGTGTGAATCTGTTTTTCCCCTGTGAATATCACTGGAAGCGTGATATTCTGATGCAAAAGGATGCAGGAAAATGTTCTGTATTCCTAATGTTGGACCTCACCAGCCTTTGCAGCCCTTACATTCTAATGAATGCTCTTGGTCCTCTTTCAACATTTGTAAAATCGTCTATCAGCAACCTCGGGGTAACCTTTGATTCTGCTCTTACTTTGGATGTTCACGTCAAATCTCTGGTTCGGTCCTGCTTCTATCATTTAAGAAACATTTCTAAATTGAGCCCTATAGTATCTCATACTGAACTCATACTGTGACACTGTTGCTTATACAGCTGCAGTGGCTCCCCGTTGAATTCACAGTCCATTTTAAGATACTAGTTCTGACCTCCAAAGCTCTTCAAGCACAAGCACCAGCCTACATCACTGAACTTTTACAGTGCTATGTCCCTAGGAGGTCCCTGAGGTAATGCAATCAGGGCTTGCTTGTTATTCAGCACACAAGGCTGAGAACTAAGGGAGACGCAGCTTTTGCCACTGTGGCTGCCAGACTGTGGACTCAGTGGTCACTTTTTTAAAAAAACAACTAAAACATCTTTTTAGAATTACATTTTGTTAACTTTTGTCTGCTTTTGTTTTATACTTGTGAAGCACTTTGTGATCTTTTTATATAGAAATGTGCTATATAAATATAAAATTTTACTTACTTACTTACTTACTTACAGTAAAATACGGAGAGTGTCCTAAACGGCCAGAAGAGGGAACGATGTGACACCAAGGGTGAAGAATTAGTCTGACAGACAGCTCACCCAAACAGAGAAAAACATCTTTGCTAAAGGCTTGAATTTTGTTGTCACGCTAAGACAAATCCCGCTAGTAGAGCTGATCACAGCCACAGAAAC